CACCAGGCCGTTGGGCATAGACAGCGTTATTGCGCCGGTGCGTCCAAGTACGAGCGGGGTTGGTGGCTTGAGCAAGGCTGGAAGATGTCAGCTCAGCCCACCAACAGATCTTGCGGGCCAAGTGCCGCAGCCCAGGGCAGCGTGACGTGTGGATGGGGTCCGTGCCTTCCCGGTAGCGCTTGCGTAGAATGCAGTCCCACGCCTGCCAGGTCGCAGTGCGCCGCTGTCGAGCCAAGAAGAAACTCCACCACTGCCACGGCACCGGGCAGTAGCTCGGGCCCACCCTGCAACATCGCGGCCAGACGCCCAAGACCATCCCAGTGTTCTTTCACAACGGGGGCGGCTTTGGGACTTTTAATTTTTGCTGCGCCACGTCGCCACGATGAGCTCTCCTAGGGCACCGCGCGAAGAGCTCGGCAAGGACAGCAACAACCGGAGCTCTTCCCGGCCTCTTCACCCCGACCTGCAGCTGCGCACGCCGACCGAATCTCCGCCCCAAAGACGGCCAGGCGCTCCCTGCAAGTGGCGGCCCTGACGGGCCTAGGTCGAGAAGATCAGCATGGCGGCGCGGACGGCGTGGTACTTGTCGCTGTCCCGCTCGTGGTGCGTGAGCCTCAGCCTCAGCTCCTCGGGCGGCACGTAGCCGCAGCGCTCGACGGCGACAGAGCAGGAAGAAGCCGCGACGGTCGGCGCGCCGGCTGCTGCGGGGCGGGCGTGCTGTAGACCTCGAGGTCCGCGTAGCACGTCAGGGGCTCTGCGGAGGCCTTGCCCCTGTAGCGCAGCAGGCTCTTCTCTCGGGCCCGGGCAGCGGCACTTTCCGAGTGTGCTCGGCTATCTCTTGATAGCACTGGGTGGCGTGGTGGCGCTGCCACGAGGCCTTCATGGTGAAGCGGGCCATGCACTGGGCACTTGTACTCCACGCAGCCGCCGGTGTTGGTGGGCGTGGCTTGCAGGGTCCCTATTGACCAGCGCCTGGAAGTTGTGGATCAGGCTGTGACGACGCCCGTGCCGCTCGGGGCGCGCTGCTGGAGGACGTGGTAGTACTCCACCCGTCCGTCCACTGGGTTTGCTGCCACACGAAGACGAAGACCTCCACCCGCCCGGCGTTGCGGAGCTCGAAGGCCTCGATGTTGTTGAAGCCCACGGGGCGGTCCGTCGGCAGGCCAGAGAAGTCCACCCCCGTGTCGGCCAGAGCGGGCTGCCAGCCCGCGGGGCGGCGTCCGCGGCGGCCGGCCAGCTCGGGGTAGAAGAAGGAGCCCGAGCAGCTCACGGTGTTTTGCCGCTCCTGCCAGGTGAGCCCTTCGAATTCGAGGGAGGGCGAGGACGCACCACATGAAGCAGTGGTGGTCCTCGTTCTGAGGGTTCCAGATGGCCTTCTTCTTGGCCAGGGTCTCGGGCAGCTCCTTCCAGCAGCCTCCCACCTCGTTGGGCGGCGGGTGCTGCATGGCGCGGTCAGCAAACACTCTGCCGTGATGCCCGCGACGGTCCAGTCGGACTCGGGGAAGCGGGAGCGCTCGAGCGCGACCTCGAACTTCGTCCTGATGGCCGCCATCATGGTTCCGGCGCGGGCCGACGGAGGCGCGGGCCTCACGATCCACGGCGCCAGCCTGAGGAAGTAGAGCGTGAGCTCCACCCTGTCCTCGTCCTCATCGTTCGCAGCCGGGCGCGTCAGCAGGATCTGGAAGCTGACTTTGGTGAGGAAGGGCAGCCGAATTGCCAGCAGGTCTTGGAGCCGGTCCACCAGCAGCCGCATGGCATCGATGGTGAAGACCTGCTGCCCAGGAAGAGGGCAGCCGCAGCTCGCAGGTCCAAGCGGCCCCGTGCGGGCGCAGTTCTGTCACAGCGGCCTTGGCGCTAGGAGCGCGCGGCTCCTCCAGAGGCACCGCCCGGGCCCCAGGCGGCCCCAGATGCGATCGGACAGCTCGGAGGTCATGGCGCAAATTGGTTTGAGCTGAATAAATTGCTTTCTGTAGAAAAATAATAAAATATTCAGTCGGTCGGACGAGCGCTTCTTTTTTCTGTCGCGTTCTGTCCTGGCTTCTGTTCTGTCCCGGATTCTACCGCGTCACAGCGAGTCGGTGGCGCTGCCCTGCAGGTTCAGCGCAGCGAGGAGCTCTCTGGAGGCCTCGTCCAGCTCCTTGCGCGCGTTCTCAAGCCGCTCCAAGGCGGCGAGGGTTGCGCTCTTGGCAGCCAGCAAGACCGGCAGCCGCTCAGCGATCTTCTTGCTGACGAGCTGCTCCTCCACCTCGAAGAGCTCCCTCTCGATCTGGGCCAGCGTTGCGACATCGCGCGTGCAAATGCGGCGCTGCCTCAGGGCCTCGCGCTTCTCGCGGAGCGCTTCCATCGGCGCCCAGCTCTCCTCCCCGCGCTCCTCGGCCATGGCGGGAGCTGCGCTGCGAGCCGCGCGCTGGTTCAAGCGCTTGCGAAGCTTAAGCTGCAGGTCTTGCGCCCGCTTCAGCATCTCCTTCCAGTCCTGATGTCGACCTCCTCCGCCGGGAACCTGCCGGCGAGCGAACGCCTAGTGGACCCGGCCAAGTTCGAGCGGGCCTGGGCAAAAGCTCGTGAACTTCGAGCTCCAAATCAAGGACTCGGAGGGGCGCTCAAGACGGACCGCAGCAAGGGCGTGCTCACCCAAGTCGGCGCCTGCGCGCTGCAGCTCTCCAAGCTTATGATGGAGAAGGCCTACTACCTCCACATGAGGAGGCTCTTCCCAAAGATGAGGCTGCTCTTTACGGCACCAACTCCATGATGGTGCAGATCTTCAAGCTGCAGGACCCGCTCCACGTCATGGCCAAGGCGAACCTGAACGGCCCTGAGAGGACCTGAGCGCGCTCTAGCGGCGCGCGCCAAGGCCATCAAGGTGATGGGGCAGCTGGGCAAGCTCGGCGACAAGACCTTCCCCGCCAGGATTCTGGAGCTACGCTCCAAGATGTACAGCATCCTCACGGTCCAGCCCGACGGCGCGCGCAAGGAGAAGCGTAAAATCAAGGGCGTGCCAAAGAAGGCGGTGACCAACGTCCGCATCTCGAGTACCGGGAGGTGCTGGAGGAACGCAGCGAGCGCAGGGCGGCCTTCGCGCAGCTGCGCAGCGGCGCGTACAAGATCGCTGTGGAGACCGTCGAGAAGAAGTCGCTCTTGCCCTTCAACGACAAGTGCAGCTCCGGCCACTTTCTTGGTCAGCGTACGATGGCCAGCATGAAGGGTGGACTTGCCCTTCTTATGTCGCCAGGTCCACCTGCAGCTAGTTCATGGGCTCCAGAGGCACGAAGCTGTTGTAGCCTCTCTGTGGTTCACCCGGAGCCGTCCAGAGCCTTTACCTCCTGTCGCCACCAGAGCCTTGCAGCGTCGCGCTATGCTGCCAAAGGTGCGGGGATTTTGTAGACGGCCTTGATGGTTTGTCTGCGGGCCAGGTTCTTCGGCCCTGCCACTCTTCCACCTCGTCCAGCCGGGCCTGGAAGCCCTTGCACACCCCAGAGACGCTGGTGAGGTGAGAGTAGTCGAGGTGACCATCTCCGTGCCAAGCTGTTCACAACCCACGTGCATGGTAACCCTAGCATCTGCCCTGCCAGGTACAACCCCACTCTGAAGGGCGGCTGATGAGGCCTTGGCGCAGCGGGTCGCTTTTACCGGGGTTGCCTGAAACACTGAAGGGGGGGTCAATGTGCCTCCTGCTCCAGGCGCACTAGTGCCCTGGAAGCAGTGCAACTTTCAGCAATCCCGGTAAAAAGAACTGCGGCCGCTTCGGACAAGCTTTGTTCTTTTGAGGTTCATGTTTGGGTTCAAGCTAGAAGCAGTGCGACATGCCTTAACGCTTAGGGTTTCTTTTCTCTTGTGTTTAGGGCATGTGGTGAATCGAACTATGCGTTGGCCGTTTTGCCCTAGCCTTGACCCAAACCTGCGGTTTCATTTCGAAACCCACCCACCCACCCTGCACTGCCCTATGCCGGCTTTGCCAGGATAGACAGCAGTTTCTCTGCACTTTCGTGGGTCGCCTCCGGGCACTGCTGTGGTCTCCGGACTAGGTCTCCGGACCAATTTCGGTCTCCGGACCTCGAGTCTCCGGACTGTCGGTCTCCGGACCTTGGCGTGGGCACGCATGCCGCGCCAAGCACTGCATGTCCCGCAAGGACACGCATTGTCTTGCCTTTTCACATTTCGGGGGGTCAATGTGCCTCCTGCTCCAGGCGCACTAGTGCCCTGGAAGCAGTGCAACTTTCAGCAATCCCGGTAAAAAGAACTGCGGCCGCTTCGGACGAGCTTTGTTCTTTTGAGGTTTCATGTTTGGGTTCAAGCTAGGAGCAGTGCGACATGCCTTAACCCGAGGTTAAAAAGGCTTGCAAATTGAATATTTTTTTTTGGGATGCAATCACACGGACCCCCGTTGTGACAGATTGAGTGCACATCTCACAAAAAGGCAAACAAAACACAAGAGCGTCAGCGAATTGCAGCCAACTCCGGATGCTGAGCTTTGGAATGCGCCTGACTGTTACATTCGGTCTTGTGGGAGCTGGTTATGGACATTTCAGAAAAGCTTGGCACCGCTGCAAAAAGGCTTCCGCTGAGGGACCAGGAAGACAGCCAATGGTCTTGCGGCATGACACACACACACCCTTTCACTACCTCCAAATGGCGAGCAAGCAGGTGGGGGCCCTTCCAAAGGGTGTGCAATCCTTTGTGATCATTTCAATAGAACTGATGTTGGGTGTGCTTGTTGTTTTTGTGTTTCTGTATGCAAGTGACACATGCGCGGTCACCGTTATGGGGCCAGCAACTCACTCTTTCTTTGAGCACTTGCATTCTGGCGTTTATGATTGGGCTCGCAAGGTGGGTCAAAGCCGCACTCTTGGCAACACATGATTCCGATGTGAAGTTGACAGATGGAACAGCTAGTTTAGCTTACCAACGACGTGGCAAAGGACATGGCTTCAAGATGGCGACCCCTTTTCACGAGCAGCATCCTTAGTGTTTTAGATCGATAGTTGGGTCAGCAGGTTTGGACAGGTGAGTAGACTGACATGGGTTTGCATCAACATCGCCATGCGCGCGCCTTTGCTTTGCTTCCTTTCCGCTCTCGTCGATGCCGATGGACCCGCTTCCACCACAGCCGCCACCTCAGCATCGCCCGCCGTTCATCGCTCCTTTGAGGGGAACGGGGACTGGTTGATTCGCGAAGATGGGGCCTCAAAGAGCGACAGCACCTGGTGCTGGCGCACCGTGGAGATCGGGTCCTGGTTCCAATCCGGGCGTGCGTTGGCGGAAGTGGTGCCGATCAACGTCACAGAGGACCAGGCGGAAGAAGCTTCTTGGTGTTTTGGCACGGGACACCTCTGGCAACCCATGTGGGAAACCCATGGGAAACCCATGACAGGACCGGAGGACCATTTCGCTTTGAGTTTGGATCCAATTCTTTGAACTCGGTGAAAGACGCCTCGGGGTTCGGAACGGCAAGCAAACTCAGCCAGAGGTAGCGAAGTTGCGCCAAAGAGGTGTTGCCCAGCCAACTTGAGTGTCCTCAAATGCGTTTTGGTTTCTATGGGGTTGAAATGGCAACCAATCATTCTTAGGGTGAATAACCACCGCGCATGTTGGTTCTTTCCTTTGTACTGTGTGGTTTCTTGTATGCCTGGTCCATTTTTGACTTACACAAGTTGGTCTCAGGGCCCGCAGCGCTTTGTGGTTGCAGGCGCCGGGAGTGAGTCTGGCCGTGGGCGTTTTGTCTGGGACAGTGGAGGGCCGGGTGAACGATCTCAGCATGTCCACAGCGGTCTGCGGCAGCAGCTATCACTGGAGCGTGGCATATGGACACGGCCGCTTGGAACGCGTTCTTAGTGGGTCTTCTCAGACATGTCCCCTGTGACTTTTTGGTTTGCCTTTTTGTCGATTGACCCCCACAGATAGCTACCCCCTTTTGCAAGCCAGGAGCCTTAGAGGATATGCAGGAAAGCAGGTGAAGCGTCGCAGAGGGGCACTTCCTACTAGGGAAACCATGACAATCAGGATAGCCTTTGCAGCTGTGTGTCTATCTGGGGACCCCTCCTTTTTTCGTTCGATTTTCCTTCAACAAGCCCCAAAGGTCCGTAGTGCGAAAGATTGGCGTGGGTGAACTGCAATCTCCCCGCTAGAAATGAGAAACTTGCGAGGCCATCGGTGGCATCATCTTGTTCAGTCCGGTCATATGATTCAGAAACACAGCATGAGCTACAGCCGCAACTCACAAACTTGCCATGTCCTGGCTCAAATATTGGCTAAACTTTTTGCCTGCCTTTTCCGGCTAACCTGCTTGTTTTGCGCGCCCCTAAGCTCCCCGTCCCAGGTCCGGTTCGCAATGATTTGATGGGATGTTTCCGGATCGCCAGCAGGGTGAGCGCTTGCCATCCATTCTATCCTGTTGCTGCTGGGTTCTTTCCGAGTGGTTCCAGTTTCGTTTCCACTGCAGGTGTAACCAGGGTTTCTTACCCCCAGGTTTTATATTCCCCTGCTAGCGGCTTGCCTGGAAGTATTGGGTCTCTCTATTTGGGATTCTTTGAGTTTTCTAGTTTCGCATTTTTTTGGTATTGCTACACCCTTCTTGACCCCTGGAAGTGGAAATTGGTCTTCCAGAAATACCGCGGTGGGAAGGCTACCCTTCTAACATTGGGGCTCCCTTTAAGAAGCCGATCTTGGCGCCTTCCGTGGGAGTTGGGGGCTGCAGGTGAGGGTGTCGAGATCCTCGGCAACAAGTGGGGCGACGGCCCAGGGATCTACAACGAAAATGTGGTGCATGTCCTGGTGGACCCTTGGCCTTCGGCTGGGACGTGTCAAGCTTTCTGCTTTGACTTCTTCTTTTTTGAAGGGGACAGTTCACCAAACTTCCCGTTCTTTTTCTTTTCCTCTTTTCTTTTTCTTGTTGTTTTTTTCTTCCCTTTCTTTTCTTCTTCTTCTTCTTTTTTCCTGGGATGGTCTTCTCGTGGTTGTTTTTGGAACATGGACCCCGCTTCTCAGTTTTGTCGGGATCTGTTCCAGGGCAGAGTCAGGCTTTTCCTTTTTCCTCCAAAAGCTTCTTCCCAAGATTGGAAGGATGGCCTTGAGACCGGCTTGGGGACTTGCAGACGGGATTCGACTGCTGAGAGCCCCCCAAGAAGTGGAAGGCAAAACCCGAACATGTATCGAATCCTGTGGCTGGTGGCATGTTTCATTTGGTCAGGCAAGTGGGTATGTCATACTGTCATGCTGGTTCCCACAACCCGCCCAACAATGTCCAAGTTGTTTCGACACACAGCCATATGGGTGCTTCCTGACCCTTCTTTGGGGGAACGCTCAAAGGAATTCACCCGCTTTGTTTTCAAGAATAAAAGCAGGGGCACGTTCAATTTTTTGATCTTTGGCAGCCATTCGCAGTGGTTCTTGGCTGGGTCGTGCTGTGTCCCAAACGAGAGAAGCGCTGGGCTTCTCCTTTTCCGACCTTGGAGAATAACTTTACAAAATCGCCAACTGGAGTGAGCAGGGCGCCTGGCCCAGAGTTGTCATACCCATCCAACATGGTGTGCCAAACATGAAGACAGGGCCAGCCAGGCGCTTATGAGTTATCACCCATCCAACAGTTTTTTTCCCCAACCTGGGCTACTTTTTCCTTTTCGGCGGCTTCCCTCGGACGCGGACATTTGTCCTGACTGCTACTGGGTTGGATCTTTAGACTGTCACTTTTTGGTTGAACTTAAGTCGGGTTTTCCACTAAACCATACTGAAGCCCCAAAAAGCGAAGCACTTTTTGCAGGGGGGTCAACGGCAACCAAGAAAATATTGGTTGGCATCAATGTGTTTTGTTGGGGCCACCAAAATGGCTTCGGATGTCCTTTTGGACGCGGAGTGATGTTTTTGTCTCCGCGAGGACATGGACGCGCGCACCCTCGCCTACGCGGTGAATGGCCAGTGCCACGGCACAAAGAGCCTCTCCGCGAGCCGCGTGCGCCTGGCGGCGGCGGTCTCGCGGCCCAAGGACGCCATCAGGCGGCCGGTTTTCGGAAGGCTCCGGTTTTTGTCTGCGGTTTTACTGCAGACATCGATGTTTTACGGGTTTTCGGTCGTTAGGATTCTCTTTGCCCCTGAGGTGCGAGTGCAATTTGTTTTTTTAGAAGCGGCATGTTCGCCGGAACTGGATTGCCGCCTGGCATTTTCACTGGACAATTATTCTCCCAAGTCTGTTTCTTTTTGGAACCAGGAGATTGCAACCCTTGACAGGCTGGGGGACGGTGCTTCAGCGCCAGCCTGCCTCTTCGAGGCAGCCCAGGCCGGTTGGCTGAGGGAGGGGGTTTCGAACGAGATGTTTGGCCGAGTCCACACGGTTCATTTGGGAGGGACATGGCGACCTCACGAAATGAAACGACAATTCAAAAGCCAGGAAAACACACCATCTTGGGGCTTCCCAGAGAAAGGCAGTTGGTGGTTCCAAAAAGGGGAGTCGAGGCTTTTGAGTGGTGGGTGCAAAGGAAACTGGAGGAAAGCCAAAATATTTTTTGGAGCTCGCTTGTTTAGAGCAACATGGGCTGGCGATTGGCCCACCCCAAACAAATGGGTGACTTGCTTTTGTTTTTGTGTTGTTCCTGAATTTGGTGGAAGGACGCGTCGGTGGTTGTGAAGGCCGTTGGGGTGGCTGTACGCAGAGACCAAAGGGGAACCATGCCATTAGATGGTCTTCGTTTGTTGAGTTTCTGTTTTTCCCCATATTTCCTAAGTTTCTTCGCTTTGAACTTTTCTAATTGTAAACGCTTCCCGTTGCCCGCCTCGGCCAGTCTGGTTTTGGCTGGCTTTGAGGAACAGTGTTTTGGTTTTCCTCAGTGTTTGTCTAAGTGAGTCCGGCACCTGCGGGATAGAGGGATTGCATGTTCGCGCGTTTTCACATGCCTCGAGAGAGTTACAGAAGCCTGCGGGGCGAAGCCTGAGGGAGTTGGGCCAGTTTTAGTGGTCTGGTGTTGAGGTGGGGATTTGGCGCGAGTTCTGGCTTGGGATTGGCTTGGCTTCTGGACATGTGACGGGTTTCTGGGGAGTTTGAGCACGGTGACACGGTTTGAAGATCTGAGGCGAATTCTCCTTCACACTTTACCCCTTGAAAGGGATCCAGACATGGATGTCATGGCCAAAGTGGTTGCATCCTCATGACAAATGCGCTCGCTCGCTCACGGAAAGTGGCAAGCTAAACCCAGACGTCGGCAACTTGAGAGGACGCACGCAAAGCCCAGGGCGCTCCACGGCCCTTTACGGCGATCATTCATTATTGTTTTGGGACCTTGTCAAGGGTCTTCAGAGTGGTTCCGGGTTCTGCGGCTGTTGGGGATACCTGAACTTTCTGTGAGAAGACTCCATGATCCCGTCTACCCAGTGGCAACTTGCCAGGCGGCAAGTGCCGCGAGCGCAAGCGCAAGAGGTGTGGCATGGGCAGTGGTGTTGGCCTGGATCTCCAGTTGAGCCTCAAGCGGCACGGTGTATGCGCCGTCTCTTTTCTTTGGGGCTGGCTCGGAGTTTTGCCTCTCAAAGACGCCCTGCAATGTGGTGGAGATGTTCCAAGCTCGGCCGATCCAGTCCCGAAACAGTTCCAGCTCCGTTGCCTTGAGGCCTGGAAACAGGGCCCCGCCGGTTGATCCGCAAAGTGGGCCAACCATGACACGCCTGGCAATGTGAAAGGGCCTAAGAGATGGGGTGAGAGAAGGTGTGAGGTCCGAGGGCTGTCGCTTCAGGGTCAGCCTTTTGGGCCGGCAGACAAAACACGAGTTCTTTCTAGTCGGATCGCAGATGTGCAGAATCATACGACGCTGACACACGGTTGAACATCACCATCCGCGCGCGTTCTTGGCACAGAGTCACACTTGCCGATACACGGTTGAACATGGCATGAATCGACTTGCTAGCAAGCACTGTCGCTAGCAATGAAGCTATGACACACTTCAGCACTTGAAGCTTGAATCGGAGACAGGAACACATGCCTTTGTTTGGGCAAAGACCTGTGACTCCTAAAAGGCGGCTTCAGATCGAGGCAGATGGTCGAAGCACACGTCTCCCAGAGTTGTTCTTTGACTCAGACCGGTTTTAGAAATACCAGGCCAGAGAGACCGCATCCTTTGCTTCTCTTGAGCAATGCGTTTAGAGGATGAGCGACGGAATGCGCGGTGCCTAGACCGCTTGCTTGGGGAAGTAGCCGCAAGACTGCAGTGGCCACAGGTGGCAGAAGGTGTCCACTGTTGAGTCTACTGCCCTGATGAGATGGGTATGGGTCAAAACAGGGACCCCAGGCTTCAGTCTTTGTTTCCATCTAGGGCAAGCCATTCTGGGGTTACCCTAGCAGAAAGCACCCGCAGGTTGAAAGGTCTTTGCGGAGCGGAACTGTTTGAGCTCGCCAGAAAGGGCGTCACAGGCACATCCGGTTGTCGGGGATCAGGTTCGACTTCTGCGACATGCCAGTGGCCGGGGAGCCAAAAGCCGAAAGCCTCGATTTGGATGTGGCCATTCGAGTCACACTCCCCGGTGTCGCAAGGCGCACCTGCAGCCGGCCCTTTGATTTACATGGGTTTGGGTAGGACGGCTCCCGGTTTTGAGTATAACTCTGGCACGTTGGGGTGGGCCGCGGGAATTTACCAGCCGGGATTCCGATGGACACGAGTCTGCTTGCATGGGCTTGCGGCTTGCTTCAAACGGGGGTCCTGAGTCTTGAGACCAACCCGCATTCCTGAAGCGCGAGCAAGCCCATCTATGGTTTCCACCGGCCCAGCCACAGCTGTCGCCTTGGACCTTGGCCCCATCCAAATTTGAGGCTTAGACGAGCCAGAGACAAGGTTGCTCACAGATGACTCATGCGTCCAAACGATCCGCGCACCAGGTATTCCCCAACAAAAGTGCCCTGTCACACCAAGCAATTTATAGACCACAGCAGACTTGGGAAGTGTCTTTCGGCAACACATCCATACGCTGAGCTTCGTCTTACGTCGCTTAGGCGCACGTGGGCGAGGGAGATGAAACTATGTGCTTCCAGGGGATTGGTTCTTGCACGGTCCGATGATTTGTTTTGCGACATTCAAACTGGTCTGGAATCCAAGTCTTGGCAACTGCTTGGCCAACGAATGTCTCAGGGAGCGGGCGGCTTAAGCAAAATGCTCCGAAAATGTTGAGACTGGAAAATTATAAAATGGCTGTGGGTCAAAACCAATGGTTCTATTTTGGGGCAGGTGCACCACCCATTTTAGTCTATTTTAGTGGGGATTGCGATGTTCATTGGGGGCACAGGATTTTGACCCATGGCCAAATGCTTCCGGCCATCGCGGAATCATCACCTCTTGCAGCCTGCTTCTCCATCGCTACCCGACATATGCCTGGGTTCACCCTCCCACTCAAAACGCCCCCGAAGATGCAACCCATAGCCCATCTTTTGGGTACTTTGGTCAGCTTCGGCAACGGGAGGGCACTTGTTCGTAAGCTGAGGGCGCTGGCGTTAGCCCATGGTTGTTGGGGTTGACCAAGGTGCCCTTCGGCCCCGCCAGTTTGGACCATGCCACTTTTCCCATGTGGCGAAAGTCAAATCTTTTTTGGTTTCCGAAAATGGTCACCCCGTGTTTACCGGACCCTTTGATGAACCCCCAATCTTCCACTGGATCGCCTGGGGATGCGATGAGATTCTGGAAGACCCGATGGGACAGTCGCTGATTTTTTTTGTGCACGGACGGGCCAAAAAGGAAGGCCGCACATTTGCAGAACCTATTTTTATTTTTGCAGCCGGTTGAGTCTGCAGAGTTGGTGCGGGGTGTGGTCCGCTGGTTGGATCGTCTTTTGTTCGATCGTGCAGGTTACATGTCTTTCACCACGAAAGTGTCAGGGGTCGTTTGGAGGATGTGAGCCATGGAAGTGCACAGACCCCGTCCAGACGTTTTGTCCTGTAGCGTGGGTTCCTGTGCACTTTCATGTGGGAGGGCAATTGTCGGAGACCCTGGGCGGCAGGTTTTCCACTGGAAGCCGGCGGAAAGCTCCCAAGAAAAGAGGACAGATTCCAGCTGCGGCTTTGGTTTCTTGGGAAGACAATTCAAAGCTCCTTCAATTCCCCAGGCAATCCCGAGGCACATGCCACTCTAACCTGTAGCTGACCGCTGGGTTTCTAGATTTGTACTTTGGCCTTTAACCCTGAGCCATGTGAGGCCAAAGGGAATTCTGGGGGAGGCTCCTTGCTCCATGCCGCTAGAAGGAGGTCCGGACGCGGATTTTTCGAGATCGAACGCCCGAGGTGATCTTCGAAGGTTTATTGTTGGGCCGACAGCTGCGCTTTTGGGCCGCGGCGGAGGCGGTTTCGACCGGTTTTTAAGGGGGGAAGAGGAGGTGTTTTTGGAGGTTTGATGTCCTGTGTTTTGGCCCTCTTGTTCGACTTGGGTTGGGTTTGATTTGTTTTTCGTTTGCGTTGTTTTGGGCTTCCTCGATCTAAGCTTGAACCCAATCTGGTGCGTCCTTTTGCGAGGCTACCAGGTAGCCCGTTGTCAGCTAGAGGAAACCAAAGTCCTTGTTTGGGCTTCCGAATTCGCAGACTCTGGAGACAACTTCGCCACCTTACAACCAAAAGGCGATGCCTTTGGTGGGCCAGCCGCATCTCACTTGGGTCTCCCAAAAGGATAAATGGCAACTCCAACAGGTTCTCCTTCAAAGCAACCCCCAAGATACTCTTCAGATTGATAAGTGTACAGCCATGAATTGCTGGATCTCACGTTGGGGCCTTGGATGTGTCGGTTGGAGGCTTCCCCTTTCGGAGGTTTCTGGTCCGAGCGGTCCATAGGCTGAGCTGCCTTTCCCGGCCAAGGCGGGGCCCGGGACGGGGGGGAGGGTTCCCTGAGGCGACCTAAGGAACCCGAAAGGGGCTCTCAACAACTCCTCTCCCTTGTACCTCCCCCTGAAAAATTCCAAGGTGAGTTGCTTTCTGAACGAAGGCGGCGCTCGACTTGGAAGCATCGTTGCACCGGCTCGCCCTTTTTTTTTCTTCTTTCCTTGTCCGGGAGTTCAAAAGGGTCCATCAGTCTTTTGACAGCTCCCGGTGGGTGGACAATTTCATTTCCAACACTAGGAATGTGGGGTTTTTGGACACATCCAAAATGGGTGCAAGCAAATTTGTATTGACTTCCATTGTCTGGTGGGATGCAACCACAACAAAATGGGATAAAATGCTCGCCGCACAACTGACCACTGAGGCCCCCCTTGCGCACCCCGGAATTTTTGTCCACAAAAGCACAAGGGATGGCTCTTAGCCGCCGCCACTGCAATACAAGGATATGGAGGTTCTAGGAATGTTTATCTTTTTTTGAGCAGGGCCAGACTGAAAGGGGAGCCTTGAAACTCCGAGTTCCTCTTTCTTTCCTTTCCGGCATGTCTTCTGTCTGACCATTGGTCCAGGATTCATGGTTGTGGGACCTGGGGATGGACCAATTGCACCAAGGGAAGTCAACCCTGGGAATCCTACATTGGTCCTCGACGCCTTTTTCATGTGAACAAGGCTTCAGAGCCCAAGAGCAACAAAGAATGAGGGCCTTGAACCCCCAAAGGCCTCAAGTCATGAGGTCTTGGGCTGCTAGAGAAGGGAACCAGTCCCCCCCTATAAACAAACCCTTGTGAGGGAATCTGCAAACGGTTCATTCCCAGCACCCGGACTCGGTCATTCCCTGCTGAGCATCCCCCACTTTGGCGTCCAATCGGGTTCTTCCAGGCGCTGTGCGAGGTCCGGCGACTGCGCCACGAGGACTTCGATGAGGATCTGCTGCTGACGCTCGGAACATGTCAGGTCTGGGCGTTTTGGAACGAAGCAGCGGTTTGCGGTTTCAAACTGGATGAGGTTTATACAAAAGCAAAGGGTTTACCCACCAACTTACATGGAAGTGCAAAAAGCCCTTTTCCAAGAGGAAAGTAGTCTTTCTACAGGGGTCTGTGCACTTCCATGTTAGCTGGTGGGAGGGTAGTCAAGTTAAATAGGGTTTACAAAACTTTGTGGAGGAGATCCTGATGCAAGTAGGCCCCACCACCTAAAACCCACTGAGATTTGGCATCCTTTTGGGTTGCCTCTGGCATGGTATCAGGTGACACGAACCCCCAGAAAGCCTTTTGAGGTTTTATGTAGAACCGACAAGGAGTGCCCTCCAAAAGATGACACGCTCTGATGGATTCCACTATCCTGAAGTCAATGATTGCACCGCGCTTATGGGTTTGGGGAAACCTTGGGCTGGGTAGGTGTCTTTTTTTCTTGTGGGGGTCCTGGTCCTTTTGTTAGGAGACACCGCCTGGTCACAGCTGTCCTGGATCTCGGCCACAGAACACGTCTATTCCAATGGCAATCGGAGAGCTTCAAGCCGGCGAAGCTCATCAAAAGTTTCGAAGGAACTTTCCTGCGGCAAGTAACTGAAAGCTAGCGCTTTGACACAGATGGGTACGGGTCAAAATTCAACCACCCGGGAGCGCAGGTTTTAGTCCTTGTTTCCATTCACCAGGGTTCCATTTTGGGGTTGCCCTATTCCCACACCCAGATGACCAAAGAAGAATAGGCGCGCCGGAACAAAGGGCGCGCGCGGGCGGCAGGGAATAGATATGAAAGAAGTGCAGCCCCTCTCGGGGTTTGGCTGCTGTGGGATGCTCGAAAGTCTGCGCGACGCCTGCTCGGGTCAGCCTCGGAGCGCGACGCCGAGAGATCTCGGGCCTCTTGGCATAGACGTACAGATTTCGTGGCGGGCGCAGCGCTTTCCCAGATGAGAAATAAAGGAACCACGGAGCAAAGAACGAAAGAAAAAAGGAAGGAAGGAACGAAATAAAAAAGGAAGGAAGGAAGGAAGGAAGGAAGAACAGAACAGAACAGACCAGAACAGAACAAAACAGAACAGAACAGAACAGAACAGAACAGAACAGAAAAAAATAAATAAAGAAAGAAAGAAATAAAGAAAGAAAAGAACAAAAATAAAGGAAAGAAAGAAAGAAATAAAGAAAGAAAGAAAGAAAGAAAAAAGAAAGAAAGAAAGAAAGAAAGAAAGAAAGAAAGAAAGGGACACATATAAAAATAAAGACATAACGAAAGAAATAAAAAAAAGAAATAAAGAAAGAAATAAAGAAATACAGAAAGATAAATAAATAAAGACAGAAAGAAAGAAGGAAATAAAGAAAGAAAGAAAGAAAGAAGGAAATAAAGAAAGAAAGAGAAAGGGAAAAATAAATAACATAACAATAAAGCCATAAATAAAGAACAACATAATGAATGAAAGGACAAGAAGAAAGACGGAAAGAGCAAATGTATACCCAAAATAATGAACAGGGAAGCATGAACGATCACAGAGAGCAAGCAGATACAGAGAAAGAAGAAAATCAAGAAGAACATATCTATAGATAGTCCCCTTTATTGAAACTTCCGCCCACCTGCTTCGCCGGCTCTCCTGGTAGCCAAACAAACTGGTTTGACCTTTGCGATTGCCTAATTCTATGGTTGTCCCAGGTTTTCGTTTCCCCGAAAGTGAAGGGTTCTCCAAAAGAGGACCAATCGACCACAATGAATCCTGGTGTCCCATTCATTCTTCAGGAGGGGTTGTTTCCCAAAAGGGAAGTCCAATTGATGAACCATTGGTTTGTGGTTCTGTCTGCAAACCGCACCTGATGGATTCGTCTTCTAAGGAACAGCATGTGCGGCAGCGTTTTCGACACGGTGGGCACCGAAGACTAGCGCCTGTGGGCCACTGGGGTGTAGGGACAAAGAACCATATTAGGGGGTTTAGGGGGTTCAGGGGTTGTTTTCTTTTGACATGCCGGCGCGACATTTCCAGCGGCTAAGTGTCTCCTCACAAACTGACATCCTGGTTGGACGACCTCAAGGTAGATGGGCACAGGGGTTGATTTCCCCAATTCTGAGTTTATGCTGCCTTGGGTAACAAAGTCGAACCCCGGCAGAATTTGTTTTCCTGGGGGTTCTCCTACATCACCCCTGAAAGGTTCCTCAGATTCTGCGAGCCAACCCGTGCTCATTCCACGCGGTGGCTCAGTGGGGCCTCAAGCTTGAGATTCCGTTGCATCGTCTCACTATTCCCAGGTGATATGGGAGACCTCCCTCGGGAAGACGTGATGCAAAATGTGGTTGGTCGTATGCCTTAACAGGGCTTGTCTGACAAGAGCTATCAAGAGGGGTATCGCACAACTTGCTGGTGCTCAGTCGGGAGTGACCGAGTGCGGGTGTTGGGAATGAACCGTTTGGGGATTCCCTTAAGGGAAACCATGAGGGATTATAGGGGTGTGGTTTCAACTTTTCTCATTCCCCTATTGAATTTGTAAGAAAAGAAGGTTAGACAATGGTGCAGACCAAATTGGCTCAGCGCGCGCTTTCGGGCCAATGCCTCGTAGGTGCAGCTTCTGTGCGAGCACCTCAGCACCCTACCGCCCCCCAGACGGGCGCTGGAGCTAGGCACAGGGATTCGTGACTCACGGTTTTTTGCGGCGCCAGACACAGTTTGATTTTCAGCAGGCTGGGAGGAACATGTCGATCTGGTTGCATTTCTTCCCTTTGGCTGATCAGGTGAAGGTGATCGTTTGCTCCCAGTCGCTTTCAGGTGGGGCGTATGCGTGGACCATCAATTGCCCCAAGTTTAGCATCCACCACGGGCACTTTTCGATTTGTCTTGGCAAATCGAGTTGAATCATCGGGAGATGAACCGGCCAAATCGGAACTGCAGCTTGCGACCCACAGACCAGAACGAGCCCACGATGTATCCAATAGGATCCGCAGAAGGCAAGCGACTATGCTGTGACACAAAGGCGCAGAGTACCACTTGATGCAATGTCACACCCCTTAATAGGGGTTAAGACAACCATTGTAAGAGCTATCAAGAGCCACGACCATGATCACAAAAGGAGGCTTGACAATGGCGCAGACAAAACCCTTTATGTTCTACTGGTGCTCCATCCGAGCCGGGAGCAACACGAGAGGCGGTGAGCTGGTTGGCATACTTGAGAAAGGCGACACAAATGAACGGAACACGATGGGGCCGCCAAATCTCCACTCCAATGCCAATATTTCAATGGAGGGACCCTCTTCTTGTGGTGGCAAGGTTGCAGGGTCAGGACAAATTCAACACACCGGACCAGTTCGGGGCGAATTTGAAACTGGGCGTTTCTTCTCAAAAGGGGTGGCAACCCAACCAAGCAAAGGGGACAAAGCCCCTGTTTAGGGGTGGCTGGGGAACAAAAGCCCTTTGTTTGCCGCACCAAACAGCCCGTCCAACACTTCCAGTTCTTGACAAGGATAGCAGCCCCCCAGATGAAAGCCCCCGGGTGTCACTTGACCCACCCCTCGCTCGTGCAAATCGCCACGCCCGGCTAGGCGCCGGCGTGGGCTTGCCGGGCCTGTGGCTGGCGAGCGGAAGCCCGGCTCGGGTGGTGCTCAGCGACTGTCAGCCAGGCGACGAGCGCATCCCGGATGGGAACGCTATGCCTGGGCGTCCCCCCAATTTGGACATCTTGTATTCACTATTTTAATCGCTTTTTGTTTTTTTGGGAGGCCGGGGTGAGGTCAGCACCTTTGGGGCTCATGAAATGCGACGCCAGTGGCAGAAGTGTGAGCCCAGAGAACCACGGTTTGCGCCGGGGACCGTGAGCAAGACGGGTTCCAAACAGAAAAGAATGCGAGTGTTTAAAAGGTAGAAACCACTTAAAGGAACCTCATAAGGCGGTATACTTAAGCGGCAAAAGTCGAGACTTGTTTAAAGCTTCGACCAGCCACGTGCGAGACACCCTGTGGTAGATGAAGGGTTGAGGGCTAATCCCCAACCGCCATAGATGGGTGTGGAGATCCGTCAATGTTTTTTTTTTGAAGCATGGCTCTGGGTCCGGCAGTTGAAGACCAGGTCTTTTTTCATTATGACTCATGTGTGATTGGTGTTTCTGAACTCGCTGCACCTCAAGTTGTCAAGCGCACGCCCAAACCAGACCTCGAGACCCATCCCAACAGTTGGTCTCACGCCTTCCTTTCTCGGCGCCAAGGAGCCGTAAATCTCCGACGTTGTCGTGACTGCAAAGAAACCTTTAGGGTGATGGATAGTTGTTTCATTTTTCCAGGCGTGCTGAGACTCTTAGCTGAGAACGTGGAGCTGAACGACCTGCAGGGCGCCTTGCTATGATATTTCCGGGTAGACAAGGCGCAGTCAGTTTATCCTCCTGCCACTGCTTTTAGAGGAGCCTTCGTCGAGGGACCCGCTTGGTTGGTTCCCTCTGTCTATTTGCAGGGGAGCAAGGGTTCCAATGACCCATGAACTCCGCAGTTTGGCCATGGCGCAAGTTTTTGGTGCGGGGGAGGCAAAGCCAAGGCATCCCGAAAAGGCATGCCATGTTGTCGCCCAGGGACTCCCCCGCAGGGCCGCACTGAGCGCGTCCGAGTCAGACAGAAGCCCAGGGAATCCCCGAAGCGCCGCTCTCGGCCGCGGCGTATTCCGCTTCGAAGGCCGGGCCGTGGCACAGCGCCTGCGCTGGGGCGAGGAGGTCGAGGACTCCTTTGACCTGGTGCTGGGCTCGGCCGCCTGGCTCGGTTTTGGCCAACAGGCTCGCGAGTGGGCATGACCCGTTGTTTTTCTTCTTTTGTTTTCTTCTTTTCTTCGCCCGCTTTTGTGGAGCTGAATGATGCGTGTGGGCATATGAAGGGACCCAGATTTGCAATCAGATGAGATGGGGAGTGGTGGGAGAAAAAGTTCTCCTCGCAAATGGGGCTTTCGTGGGCTAAAAAGCGCAGGCATCAGAGTGAGGTCGAATTCTCCCGTTTGCCCGTCTTTTCCAGGAAGACACCAGGTGAACTGATTTAGGTCAGTTCCACACAGTTTAGGGTCTTGACAGGCAGCCTGAAAGCAGGAAAGTAGCGCGGGTCGTAGACTGGTCGTCCCCTAGATCTAAAGGTTGATGTATCGAAATTGGGGTCCCCTCCATCATCGTTCATGTTCCTTTTGGCTTCTTCAGAGCAAGCTTAAAAGGGCACCCTCAAAGAAACACACACCCAAGTTTTTGAAACACCCCTTCTGTTGCAAGCTGCTTCTCCAAGATCATCTTGTAGCGAGGAGCACTCGGCACAAAGGGACGAACTGTGGCGAAGTGGCACGAGCTGCAAGGGAGCTGCCACATCCGGCTGTGGCCTTTGGGAGCTGCCAGGCTCCTTCTTGTAGTCTGCGCCTAGTCCTGGGGGCTGGGGGAGCCCAAATATTTCCTAAATAAGGCCTTATTCAGGGCTCAAGGGCTTAGTTGGGGCAAGTCCTTGTTGAAGCTGCCTGGATGGTATGGCCGCTCTGGATCCGAAGGTCTGTCCGAAACTGAACCTGAACCAAAGACCATGCTGAATCCGTGAGTTTAGTTGACCGGAGACCTGTTGCTGGATGGATGTGGTTTCGAGATGTTGGGCCTCGCGAATTACATATTTTCATCCCCCCCTTCCCGGCAAAGGCAAGCGAAAGGACGGGCCAGGATCACAGGTTGGAAGTGTCGCAAAGGGAGAAGGTGCACCTCAGAGATTTCCGCTAAGATACTAGAACCCCTGTGTTGTATCTCAAGGATCCTTGATCTGTGGGCTGGATCACCTTGCGCCTCGCGCTGAGGACATCTTGCAGCTCGGCCAAAGCGACCGCCGGGCGGCGTTCCGATGCCAAAGGAGTCCGGTGGAACACTTTTGCCTGAGGACGCACATTTCTGCAGGAGTTTTGGGGTAGACTAAGTATGACAGATTAATCTACAAATATGACTTTTTGGGTAGCCAAGATTTGGTTGGAGACTCGGGGCGAGAAAGCGAAATAAAGGCGAAGGCGGCAAATTCCTGGGGTACTCATACAACACACAGCAGGACTGATTTTCATGGCTTGAGTTTGTTGTGTGCCGTCGCTTGGGTTTTCTTGCATCAATCATTGAGCCGAAAGTTGTCGACTCTTGGACTATCTTGGGCTGTTGTTGTGATGGGCGGCTGGTTTTTCGGCAAGCAGCAAAATTGAGCCCATTTCCAATATTTCAACAGTGCAGATGATGCCGGCAATTTGAAAGTGCGCATGCTGTTGGTGAACAGATTGGAGCTGGCCGCTCTGAGAAATCACAGCACAATGGCCGAGATATGTTTGCGGTCTGAAAGACATGGAGGGTGCTGCAAATGGGCGAATCGTCAGGTCAGTCCCAGAGTCCGGTCAAAGTGAATGGCCAAATCGCTCTGATTTTTGAGATCGCCCTTTGGGACAGAAGGGTTTCCCCACTTTGAGACAGCCCATGTGTGCACCTAAAGCCCGGGCGATTTCAGTCGGTTCTACCTTGGTTCTTAGTATGGCTTGTGAAAACCTTTGAGCCCGCAGTCAAGGGTTTTAAGAGATGTAAGACATGAAGATATACTAGAGATAAATACTCCAAATAAAAGTTTTTCTGTACTTGAAGGTGATAAAGTCATAAAACAAGTGGATAATTGTGGATATAATCTGTACCACCTCCAAATTTTGAAATTAAAGAAAGGATTAGGAAAAGATATAAAAGTAACATTGTTATGATAGACAGATTATGTATGCCACTTCTGGTCCTTGAAAGTGCTTGAAACCCTGAGGTTTTCCGAAGAACGAGCGTCAACAAGCCACCAGCCAAGTCTCCATGGGTGTTTTGACCTGTTATGTGCTGTATTTTCAGCGCATGAGGCTCTAAGAGACCTCATATTTATCATTTCACTGACTGCGCGCGGACGTACCCCGCAGAAGTCCACGCCATTTGCATGATCGAAAGAGGTCGGGATCAGTTGCAATGGGCAACATGCACTGGCTGCATCGAACATGTCGCCAGAAATGCATGCGAGAAGCAGCAAGAGCAGCAAGAGCAGCAAGAGCAGCAAGAGCAGCCAGAGCAGCAACAGCAAGAGCAAAAAGAACAACAAGAACAAGAAAAACGTAAAGAAACACAAGCACAATGAGGCCTGTGGCCAACGAGGCCTATGGCCAACGAAGCCTATGGCAAAGCATCAAAGACACCCACGCACCCACCCAAGCACAACGCTACACAAGCACCAGACCAACCGCCGCCGCGCAGCTTTCGCATTTTCTGCGGAGGTACGACGCCTCGGCCGCCTCGGGCCTCTTCGCCACCGCCGCTGCTGCCATGGCGCCGGAGGGCCGCTTCGCGCCTTGGAGCGTTCAGGGCCGACTGGGTGCGGGTCTCTGGTCTTGTGGGTATCCAGCAAAAAAAGGTGGGGGGTGGGGTGGGTGGGGTGGGTGGGTGGGGTGGGTGGGGTGAGTGGGGTGGGTGGGGTGGGTGGGTGGGGTGGGTGGAGGGGGGTGGAGGGGGGGGGATTTTTGATATCACTGACTGGTGGTTAAACTTGGGATCTTGAGACGTGCTTCGTGGGGTGGTGCGCATGGCGAGATCGAGTCCTTTCCGCAAGCTGCGCTGGATTGGGGGCACTTACTCTTCCTTCATTGCCCTTAAGTTAGCTTCTGTGTGACCTGAGCAGTTGTGCCGTTGGCGTTTTGGTTGGCAAACCCCCATCAAGCCTAAACACGACTCCGCCTCTCGATGCTGAATGCACATCTGCGATCATGTACGGACGGTGAATCGTCCCATGATATTGCCACGTAGCAACTTGGGACGATCCCACCTTGGAAGAGGTGCCAAAAGCAAGGTTCTGGGGCAGCCGGATGACATTGTCAACTCGGGTTTGGAGACTACAACTATTAGTCAGTGGAAAAACAAGGCTTTTTGACTGAAAGGGTGGTTCCTACTTTTAGTCAACAGAAAGTCATGTTCTTCACTTAAATGCTGGTCATGCGGGGGTGTCCACCAATTTAGTCTACTTACCAGCCCACTTACCAATTTAGTCTACAAAGACCATCAAAAGCTGGGCTGAGCATGAACAACTGCAATTTAAGTCGTTGTAAGGAATCTGGTGCAGCCGAGTGGAAAACTCGAGTTAGGGAGCTACTTGTAGGTAGCGGCAAAACATTTCACTACGATGGTGGTGATGGTGGAGGTGTCGACCAAGTAGGTGAGCGGCCAGTGCGACATGTATTCTGAGTGCGCGGAAAGGCTACCAGTTTAGTCTGCAAAGGCCATCCAAAAGCACAACGAACCATGTCCAGTTGGAAACCGCCCATCGATGGGGAAAACTTGAGTTTGAAAGCCGCACTTCTAGCCAATGGAGAAGTGGTCCCTTCTTGAATGCGAGTGATGCTGGGGGGTGTCGACCAGCTTAGTCTACGGACCAACGCTACTTTTTGGTAAACGGAAGTCGCATTTCTTTGAGACAGCAAAAAAGAGTTCTTTTGACAAAAAGCAGTTGTGATTCTGGAGGTTTTGACCAATTCAGCTAATTTTGTCTAGAAACAAGGGTTTACTAGGGAATTTTGGTGCAGACAACTCAGGTTTGGAAACCACGACAGCTACTGTTAGTCAGTGGACACAACGGCGGAGATGGTGTCCGCCAGTTTACTGGCACACATGAATTCTGAGTCTACCCGGCGGTGACACTTGTGGTGTCGGCCAGTCGAGTGTGCAGACCGGCAGGACATCTACGCTTAGTCAAGTCTAGTCAATGCTTGACTAAAACAGTGGAGAGACTGCAGGTGTCGGCCAACATAGTCTACACAGACCATCAAACACACACACACACACACACCACGAGTCAAGTGGAGCTGGACAAGTGCAATTCCGTAAGCAGCTTCGTGAGGAACTTGGATGCAGTCTTGCGAAAACGGTGGCGATGCTGTAGGTGGAAGTTCGCAAGACTCCGCAGCTTGCCGCATGCTCCGTGGAGTCGTTTGCTTGATTTTTGCGCCAAGCAAACGAATTCCCTGTAAGCACACGCCACGGGAAACACAATGACTGGCGTCGCCTTTTCAACGCAGCATATCTCCCTCTCCCTCTGTGTGGTCCTGTATAAAGCCTCTATATATAGTATTATATATGTATATATGTGTATATGGTATAATATGCATTATATATATATTATATAGATTATATATATATATATATATTAACTTAGATATACAAGAGTAATCCCGGCCCAGTGCCTTCCACCGAGCCTGCAGGTGGTATGCTTGCACCTTTGTCCCCCGAGCCGAAGTTCGCTCTGTTCAAAGCTTACGTCCGGCAGAATTCAGCTCTCACACTCCGAGACACGGCAGTCCACAGTCCGGCCATCCATAACGCACGCAGTTCCGAACGCCCTCTTGGCGAAGCCCTGCAAGTTTAACATGGACCCTCCAGACAAGGGGGTTCCACTACCTACCCCGTGCCTCCGGAGTGCGGCCTGGTGATGTCGCATGGCCTGTTTTGTTTCGCTTTTGTTTTTGCACTTCCCAAGCCAACCTAACACAGAGTATGCTCCCAATGGTTTTCGCAGGTCTCATCTTGAAAACCGATGGGTTCTGGTTTGAGTTTGGTTCTAAGCCCTTGCCTACTGCGTTCGTCTTGGCCGATTTTGGCCCAGGTTCTTGCGAACACCATCCGCGGGCCCAGCGTGGGAGCGGCTCCGACCGGAAAATTGGGGGGTTTGGGGGGGTTTGGGGGGGTTTGGGAGGGTTTGGGGGGGTTTGAGGCGGGTTGGAATTCCGGCGCCGAGGTTCGTTGGGTTTTCTGAATGTGACAAGCCGAGTTGCCAGCTGAGTTGCCAGATGCCACGTTTCAAGCTCTAAGAGAGCCTTACAAAGGGGGCTTGGGAGGGTGCGAGGCACCTAGACAGTATCTTGACACTTCACCTTTAATGTGCCTTCCCAGCCTGAGCCAGCACGAAGAGTCAGGCATGCTGAGTCTCTTGATCTGTGGACCTTGTTTGGGACAGTTGGGCGTCTGTTGGGTTTTAGAAGCGACGAAGCCTGCATTTGTTGGTTGATGGGATTCATTACTTGGCTGGCATTGTACGCAGGGCTTGAGCCGGCAGATTCATTTACATGAGAAGCAGCAGGCCCGGAAGAAAAGTCGCTAAATGGAGAAAGCTAGAACTTTGTGTTTGGGCTTGGCGTGTGTCATTGTAGCCATCCCTCGTACCAGATGCCAAAGATGTCAGGTATCAACAACGCAGCTGTCAGTGTACAAGTCAATCCCCACTGGCAGAGGATATCAAAACAAAAACCCCAAGAGGGGAAGTCGAATATGGTCTGCTCATGTCCCGGTTTCAGGGGAATGTTTAATGTGAGCCCCACGGGTTTTGAATTCGATTCGCACCGTTCGCACCAGTTCACACCGCCTCGCGCAGGTTCGCGTCGGTTCGCGCCGGTTCACACCGGCTCGCGCGTTCCGCAGCAGCGATTCCCGCAGTCAAAACGCGATCGCGTTCTGGAGCGCTTGTGCACACACAGGCATTGAGGGTCAACACGCGCGTGAGCACGTTTTGCATCATGCGTGTACAAAGAAGGAGAAGCGTTGAGCTGATGTTGCAGTTTGCAGTGATTGCACAGTTGAATGGATGTGGCAGTTGTGAAGACAGTTTGGAGCGGACATGTCAGCTGACGAGCATGTTATTGCAAACGCCAGCTATGTATGTTTGTCATGTATGACAAGAATGCCCATGTGCTGTACCAAGCCGCGCGCGGCGCTGTGAAGAGTTCCAAAGAGAGATTAGGCCTAGCCTGCGCCCTTGTCTGGATGCCAAGCCTTGGCACGGTCATGTGCTGCGGTTCGGGAACGTGGAGCAAGGCGTGTTGCAGCGTTTCAGACAACATCCGCGAAGACTTGGCGAAAGGCGAGCTGTTTGCAGGCTGCATGCATGGCGTGGACACGTACTGTATCCATCCACGCGACGTGCTATCGGTTTTGTGATGCCCAGGCCCATTTGCCGGGTCCCCCGAACGCACCGCCTGTGTTTCTGCATGCGGTCTGGCAGGCTTGGGTGTTCAGACAATCATTTTTACAGCAGTGCCGTGTTTGTTTTGGGTTGATGTAAAGACACACTAAGAGTAAACCACGCTTTTTGTCGGGACCATGTGGGTTTGTCTCCAAATAGGGGGCCCAACAAAGTTGGAGGTTTTTCCTGCGGCTTCCCATTTGAACCAACCTGACAAAATAAGCTCCCATCTTTAAGACTGGCCCCTTTGGATGTTGAGACGGAAAGCGTTTCCAATCCCATCTTTTGGCTTTTGGGGGGCAGTCGCAGGCGGCCCCAAAAGGAAAGTCGCAGGCAATCTCCTGCGCAGGCCCCAAACAAGTGCGCTTCACAAACAGGGGGGGGGCGCTCCATGGGTGGCCGTCGATGTGAGCCAGCTGCTGTTGGGCCAGTCACTTGAACCAAGATTCGCATGATTGTGCCCTCAACAAAACGGCAGCCCAATATCAAAATGTGGCAACGAGGTGAAGGTCATCCTACAGCACGCCGCCGCCAGCGGCTTGCGCTGGGTGAACTCTTGCGACCTGGGCGCCTTGCAGCAAAGCGAGGCCATGGGCTGAACATGGCGAGCTCACCGGGGGGTATAACTCACTGGGGATCGTCTATTTCAGGTTTTTGGAATATTGTAAAGTTTGCAGATATATGGGTGTGTCTTGTTTTGAGGGACCCCAAAAGGAGAACACATTTTTTCCTTTTGGCTGCCCTTTGAAACATCACCCAACAGGGTCTCAAACAAGGGGACAGACCCATGTCTGTAGCAAGGGTACATTTTGATTTGCAGCCACTTCTTTTTTGGCACACGGGGCGTGTTTCTTTTTTGGATGGCACTGGTTCCTTTTTTTTGTGGTCCAGGGAGAAGGGGGTTCAAAGGGACAGGGCAGTTTTGACGAGAAAGCGCAGGGACAACCCACGATTTTGGGATTTCCCAAGGCCCTTTTCACTTAAAAACCGCGTGACTCAAGGCCCACATCGTCTAACACGTGTCCGCCTCTCACGAACGTGCCCCTCTTGGGCGGCTTTTCAGGGACCGAATGGAGCGATTTTGCGGTGTCAAATCTGATAGACGTCAGATGTCCCTGGCTGGTCACTATTAAATCTAAGGCCAAAGTCACTACCCCCAAAACACTACCCCGAAAAGCCCGCATTTTGTGCTCCAGGGGACCCTCCAAACTGCTTGATGTTTGCAATTATTTGCCTGCAGCTGCGTGGCCCCTAGAATGGTGAGTCCCTACCAGCACAGTTCTTCAAAGTGGCTTGGCCCGGTGCCCGTCTACCTCGTGGCTAAAAGTGGTGAACTTTTGTGGTCAATTGTCCCGGTATTCGAAAAACAATTTTGGGGCTGTTGAACTCCCGCACACTATCCGCGCGCTACCGCCCCCAACTACCCCCAAACTGGGGGTAGTGGTGTGATTCATCTTTTTCACGAGCATACCAGGTGACGTGTGACTACCCCCAAATCGCCCAGTCAAATCCACTACCCCCCAAACCGCGCGTTTTGGGACTCACTACCCCCAAAACGGGGGATGTGGCGGTCCCTCCAACGTGACATGATCAAAGCAGCAAACCAAACCGGCTGCCAAGAAAGAAAGGCTTTGATGTTCACCTTAAACAAAGATGCCGGCGCAAACCAAGCGTTGATGTTCACAAGTTTCAACGTCAAAACTGATAGCAGCGCACCCGGATGAAACACATGCCGCAGCTCCAGAATTACCTGGTTTCTGCAGCAGCCAAATATGCACAAATTGAGGCGCCCTCGTATAACCCTTATATAACCCTTTCCTAACCCTTATATAACCTGTATATATCCATTGGCTTCTGGGGGTAGTGGTTTGGGGGTAGTCAATGCATGGCTTCTATGGCTGGATAGGGGTTGGAAAGCCCTCCCCGCTTTGCGATTTTAGGTTGGCTTTCTTTGTGGGGTGACGTTTGCCTTTTGATTGCTCTTCAACCCACCCAAAAAATGGACTGACAAAAAGGGACTGTTCGAAACTAGTGATCCAGAAAAAGGAACCCCGAGAAGCATGACTTGAAAGGATTACCCCCCCCAACAAAAAGCTCGTCTTCAAGCTGATGCCAGGCCTATGTCTTCGTCTTTGAGAAGGATAAACTGCGAGACCAAAAGAGGTGGTGCGGCAGCGGCTTTGGAAAATACTTAACACTTTTAAGGATCGCCCAATAAATATTATGTTTCTTTGCTTATTGCTTTTTGGTTGAGGCAAACGCCAAAGTAGGACAGGCGTCGGGCGGGTGCTCTGCACAATTTTTGGGAACTGGGGTCCTTTGTACTGTGTGGTGTGGTCAAAACGACTGTTTGCTTAGGTTCGGGACGGTCAGCGACCTTGCTTATGGGGTAATTAGACCAGCTTTTGAGGGAAAAACCAATCGCACGACGCCATCCACTTTTTGCGTGAGACGTGACTTGCTGACCGCATTGAGCCTTGATGTGGGGAATGTCCTCAGGTGGGATCCCAAAAAGGGTTTCATGGAATACTCCTTCTTTGGAGTGCCTGAAGCTGTCCCGCAGCCGGAGCCAGATGGAGCTTGGTTCCGACTATTGCTGAAGATCCTTTTGGTTCGCATCATGCTAGTAAAAATCAAAGGTGGCGCAAACTCTGAAAGAAGATCTCAGCGGATTTTTGGTTGCCCTCGCTGGCTGTTTGGCTCCAGTCCTGAGCTCGTCACCTGAGGTGACTGATTGCCCACACCTGAGTGCAGGGAGCATGGGACAATCTTCTCTATTGCTTGACTCTGGATGGGTTCCACTGGTTTCAGCTTGCTCCCAGCTGGGTCTGTCTCAAAATGGCGGATGAAGCCCAGCATTTTCGTGTTGGGCTTCCTTGAAAACCCTTCTCCCAAGAAGGGGCACAACCATGTGCCGGTTAGAAGGCTCTAAGGGAAGGTATGCGCACGGGCTTGAAGGGTGCCGTTTTTACGATTCCCGACCGTGTGGCCATATGATAAGTTTGTCTTCTTTTCGGGGGTGGGCTTGTTGAGGCCTTGCGATCACCGGGCCCCGAAGGTTTCTTTCATAGGGAGACCTGCTTTGGCGTCCTTCACCCGCCCCGTTGCCATTGAGATTGATACCCCCCGATTCTGGGAGTTTCCTCTGGCAGTTTTTGGGGGTCCGTGGTTTATTGGGAAGCCCCGATGGCGAGCTCAAGTCAGGCCGATTGGAATGGACGCCAAGCCCAACTCCACGACCCGGGGGCAGCTACCAGGCCGAGCCGGAAAAACTGGGCTCGAGTGACAAGGACGCCACAGTACTGAGGTGGAGCCTATGGGTCCGTCTTTTAGCAAAACTTGGTAGGCCCTGTCTTTGGTGGTTGTGGGGAAACCAACAGGAAACACCCAAACTGGAAATCCTGTTTTTTTGGGTCTACCAAAAGACGAGCCACCCATAAAAGAACCTCGATCTCCTCCCCGTGGTTTGTTTCTTCCGGACGCTTTCCGGAGGCCCCCTGATTGAGCGAAAAAAGTGAGAAGCTGTGTGTGATTCAGCCGAACAAGTCTCATGAAAATAGCACTGCCGTTTTTCGTTTGGTTTTAAGCATATTACGTCAACCATGCCGATCACGATGCCGTAAATCGATGACGACGATCCAAAGGGATTTTGTCGGATTGCATTCCACCTGGGTCGCTGTGAAATTGATGTTTTGTGCATTCAGGGCATGGTCAAATTCGTAGCTTGAAAATGAACCTAGCACAGGCGTTGATCCACTAGGGGTAAGAGGGGATGCTCCAAATCCGCGTTTGTTCCTTGGCTTTGAGAAGACAACCCTTTGTGTAGATGCCAACTCTCTCAGAATGGGCGGGTGCTTCTTCTGAGGCGACCGTTTGGGGTTTGTGCCAAAAAAACAAACGCAAAGTCCGACGAACTCCCTCGCATGGTGGTTGAACTATGGTGAGACAGAGCATGTGACCACTTGTTTCTTGTGCCACTACGTGTGGCATTTGCTTGGTAGGCACTGGAAAGAATCGCCTCAGGAATCAGGAAGGCAGTTTCTCCTTGGATTACCTTTGACGCCACATCCAACAGGATACCCATGGATACCTTCACAAAGTCGCACCCAATTGTCAGCAACTGGAAAGAAAGCGAAGGACCATGATGTATCGCTGAACCAAACAGGATCTGTTTGACTCTAAGATATGAGAATGCTGGAAGAGGACATTTTCAGTCACATTTTCCATCGATTGCGGGCTGGCAGCAACCACGGATCGAGCCTCTATACTTGTCGTTTTCGTAGTCATTTTCTCCTGTCGGTTTAAACGGGAATGGTCGCGATTGGTAAATCGTTTTCACCTCAAGCAAATGGAAGCAACACTAAACCGAAAAACGAGAACTTTTTGCATCCAGACGTCGAACATCTGGGGGACATATTTTCAGAGGTGAGCCACAAACGAAGGCGAGAAGTGCCTCAGAACGGTTTCGCAACGGCGAAACGGTTTCGTCTGGTGTCTGCCGAGTTTTGTGCCGCAAGAGATCCCTTCCAAGAGATCCCTTCCAAATGGTTCACGTTCCTTGAAATCAACCATCAAGGCTCTGTGTCCTTCAACGATTTCAGATGTCAGTTTGGTGGACCCAGACCTTCGTCCCGTTTCATGTTGCGTTCTTGAGGCATACCGTCCTCCATCGACCGAGTCTCAGCGGAGTGCATCTGGAAGTCCTTCTGTACCAGCAGCGGCCCCAGTCTGGGAGCCGCGAGTTGGGAGGTTCGGATGAGACGCAAGACGTACGCCCCTCTTCCATGCCGCTAGGCGCAAGAAGCCACCATGCACCGGGGGTTTCGTTAGATTCCTAGCCTTGCATGGCCTAGGCAGATGCAAACCTTGGTTTCTGTGTTGGAAGGAATTCAGGGAGTCCTTTCCCCGAAGGGAGATCTTGCGCTTTTTGCCCAACACCCAGCTGGAGATTGCAGAAATTTCTGGAGGTGGGCAGGCAAATTCTCAGGAGCTTACGAGGGAAACCAAGCTCACTCTCAAGGCACCCCAAATGTCCGGTTTGTGAATCACTCCCCACTTTGCCGTGACAGGTTTGGTTTTTGACTTCGAACCCTTTTGGATTTGGGGAGTTGATAATCCAAGTTACTCAACCCCTTGAGTGGCTGGATCAAGTTCAACTCAACCCACACCATCTGCCAGCACCCCTCTCCCCCCAAAGACCCGGCTGTGGGTCAAAACCCTGTACCCCTGGTGAACATCCAAGGTGGTACATGGGTGTTCATCCGCCCCAAAATGGCTCGGCATAGGTTATGACCCATGGCCACCCAAAGACCCAAAGACCCAAAGACCCAAAGACCCAAAGACCCAAAGACCCAAAGACCCAAAGGCGAGGTGGACTACGTGCGGCAGCGGAAGCTGCAACCGGCGCAGCCGCGCCGAAAGCTGAGTTCGGGCGGAGAAAAGGACCTGGGCTACGGTACCCAAGTGGACCCCTCTTGTGGTTTCAGGGCACCAAGAGGAAACCCAAAGGCCCCCAAGTTTGAGAACCACGCATACATATACATATATACACATACATATATATATATATGTATATGTGACTCGGAAAGGACCCAACATGGTCTGACATGTGTATATATATATATATACACATGGTACCCTATGCATATATATATATATATATATACATATATATACATATATATATATATATATTTATAGATACAGCAGTCAGCAGATGTGAGGTTTGTTGTCATATCCTGTTTTGTCTATTGTCAGTTTTGGGTTCGGGGCATGGGACTCACCGATTTCCCCCCAGAAAAATCATGACGACGCCCAACTTTTCTCCTCGTTACGGACGTACGGACCCAAGGGAGACACCCGTACAGTCAGTGACATGGTGCCTGTGGGTTGGAGACAGTTATTCACGGATCAGGGGACGGCTCACTGCCTGATACATTCGGCCTACAAATGTTCCCCCCACCCCGGGTGAAGCATTTGTCCTGAAACAATCCCTTTTTCCCGGTGGTATCATAGCGGAAAGGCGATTTCCATGACCCTGGCGGAACAAACATCTCATTCCCAGAGCAAAACAAAGCAGCATGGTCGCTCAGTTCGCTCAGGGCACCAAAAAGGGTGGTTCGGGGTGGAGGAGTTGCCTTTTGAAACCTGACCATCTTCTGCCGGGTCTGGTGGGCGCCATCTCAGGGGGGTCTTACCCTCTCTCCAATCATAGACCATCGGGTTTTTGGAAGACGAAAGGTTTTGCTTTTGGGGAACCTTAAAAGTCCACTTCTCTTTTTTGGAAAGAGGGTAAAAACCCCAAAGGTTGAAGGGCTGAAAGCTGAACCCAAACCGGCTTTCTTCCCGCCAGCTTCCCCTCTCAAAGTTTTCCCCCGAACAAAAAACGGCGGGTGATTTCACCCACCCCACCATTTTTTTTTCTCGGAGGCCAGCACCAGATCTCCAACCTCCACGGCTTTGAGGTGGCCCGGGCACCCAGCGAGGATCCATCGAGCCCGATTTTGAGCCAAGCAAGTCGATGCGTATGGGTGCGAGCCGATGGTCCGAGGGTTGAAGCTGAAAGGTATATTTTTTTCTTTTGTGGACCGGTTGGGCATGAATACACCATGTTCAAGGATGGAATATCAGCCACTTGTGTCTTGGACTTTGTGCTTTTTGTTGAACCCCAACTGCATCAGTCTGCCTTTTTTAATCGTGTGCTCACCTGGAGGTAAAAGAGATCACCCGTGTTGAAGGTATCTTACTTGGGGATCACTCATGTCCGGTTTTGGACTTATTGTAACAAGTGCGATCAACAAAGGCTGCAACTGGCGAAGCTCTGGACGATCTGGCACCAATTGATCTGACCAGGGGCAACTGCTAGTGGTTGGGGACTGGTCCCCGAGGATTCCAGCGAGGCGTGTTGATCGCAAGCTGTGGGTTTTGAGCGCAGCGCCGCTCAAAGGCGTTTTTTCCCGTGGATCCGGATTCCTTCGTCTCCGGGCGTTAGGTGCGGAATGCCTCCTACATGAGCGTGCGCCGGGCCAAGCCGAGTGCTTTTCTCGAGGAGCCGAAGCGGCGCGCCGGGGGGGTGGGAGGCGCGAATTGTGGGAGTCGGGAATTTTGGTGTCTGAGCGATGCAAGCTCGGAGCCATAGGTGTCCTTTTGAGCGGTTCGTTGGGCTAGAAATAGATGGGTTTTAGTGGTTTAGATGGGTTTATTCCCAGAACTTCCAGGGAACGCCATCTATGCTTCTTTAAAAGAACGTCGATGATCGGAACCCCTCTCAGAATGGTTCTGCCAACCAGAATCAGAACCGCGAAGGTTCCGAACCGTTGAACTTTGCCGGGGTTTCACTTGGGACATTTCTTGGCTTCTCCAAGGGCGTGAATACAAAGACAACCCAAAGGGGGGATGGCTGGGGCAAACATGAGACTGATTGGAAGTGATTCCAGCATTCGCGCAGGGCACGGCTGGAGCTTAGACACCTTTCGATTCCAAGCAACATTTCAGGGGCTGGATTCGCCTTGCACAAGCCGATCCCATGAGAGTACAGTGGAAGCCCAGAGATGGCCTTTGCCGCCCTAAGTCAGGTGATCACGAGTCACACACCGGTTTCCCTTCTTTATTCGGGCAATGATGATATGAGAACCCCAGATTCATCCTACTTTATTGAAATGGCGGGGGTCCTCTGACTGAACAAATGGTGCTTAGGTTGCTTGAACCTGTTATCAATCCCGCAAATAGTAATGTGGTGAGTTTAGACACGATACATCCGGGATATTGAGAGAACGGGCACTTTGTTGCTGGCACTTTAAGCTTGAAACCTGCCTGATTGTAAGAAGCTCGCGCTCCTTGATTTCCTGTGTAAGAAAAGTGCCATCCTGGCCTCGCTTGGTTGAGTCCCTGCTCTCTTCTGCTCTTGCTCTGTTTCTTTGCAGGTCTGGGTTTTGGGCTGTTCGCTGGACTTTCTGCTGGCGGCTTTCCGGCCTCGTCCTGCTGATAAAAATCATTCCTGTCGCCTTGGCCGCGTGTCGTCCTGAAGGTCGGGTGTGCCTTTCTCGCAAAGAGCTTTGGCAACTTTGGCGAGACCGGATGGACCCATGCTCTTCAGTTGGCCTGTGGACGATGAGTATGTCGATGCTTCGCTCCCAGTTCTGAAGTCTGGCGGAGTTTCTTTCGTCTTTCACTTTTAGGATCGGCTCGGGCCGACGGAGACACGTTGAGCCCTTCAGCATCTCGGCACTTTTTTGGGATGGCTGGGGGGTTTCGTGGAAGTGATGGAGCTTGGTTGGTGGACTGTTCGGCAACAAGCTTGCCTGCAAGTTCGGATGAGCCTCGTGGCTCAACCCAACTGACTTCCTTTTCTAGCGTCCCTTCCGTGCGGCCCTCTGAAGGCTCCTCTTTCAGCCCGAAAAGCGGTAGCCCAAAAAACCAGGGTGGTTTGGAATGGAGCTGCCGGCGGCAACAAGTTGGTGCCTCTATTTCCCCTTTTGGCGGAAGCTTGGTCTTGATGGGCCAACTCCCCAATGCAAGGCACCCAACCCCACCCCATCCACCCCAACTCCACCGTATCCACACTTATTTTTCTTCTTCGGGGTTCTCCACATGGAAAAATGCCATGGCCGCTGCAAAAAACAGTTGTTCACCTTTGAGGAGCCGCATGGGCCGTTGAGCAAATACCTGGGCGAGGACACCAAGGACCAGTGGTTCTCAAAGTGGTCCCACGAAATGGTATTTGTGTTGCTTTGCAGAAACAAAGGGGACACTTGAAACCTGCCGTTCTTTTCTTTTTTCTCCAATGACCGGAAGTAGATGTCGTCCTTTTTTTCTTTTTCCCCGCGAAGGAGGGCGCACATTTTTTTTTTTGCAAATGTCTATTTGGGTCGTGAATGTTTTTTGCGTGAAGGCTCCCTGCATGGGCACCCCCAAATAGGGGGCCCGTTACGACGGTTGAGCTCCTTTTTAGTTTGCCTTTAAGCAGCTTTCGAGCAGCGATGCACGCGTTTCCGAGCAGATTTTGAAGTCGCAATATCCCGGACGAGAAAATGTTTCCCAGCGGAACATGGGTCTGTCTCTTGAGGGAGCACGTTTTTGGAGTTTATTTAGGGAAACCAAAGGGAAACCAAAGGGACGCCACTAGGGTTCCGATTCCCATTTAGAGACAAACCCAAATGGCTCAGGCTGTCCTTGCCAGGGTAGCAGCGTTTGAATTCGCAAAAGCTGCTGGGCTTGCCTGGAGGTACCACAAAATCATCCGTGATGGTCTTTTAGGGGAGGGGGGTTCCCCTTTTTTCCTAGTTTGGGAAGTCCTGCACTGGGTCTCTTCCCTTTAAAGTCGTTCTACCTTGCAACTTGCCCAAATTGGATACCTCCGCCTTGAGCATCGTCTTTTTAGCATGGTCAGCAAGAGGTTCTAGTGCCAGAAGGCATGGCCCAACCCTTTTGAGGCTCGCGTGAACATACCTGAAAATACACCGTGTTTGATCCATCCAGATCTGCTTTTTGGGTTCAGGTGCGCTTTTTTGTGTCTTCTGTATCCCGCCGTTGGGCATGACTGTCGGAGGACAGACATGGGCCGCCGCCCTTTGAGATGCCGACGGTGGAGGCCGACGGTTGGCAGGGAATGGGGAGACCCCTTCCCCACCCCACTCGCGGAGTTGGACTTGGCGCGTTTTTGGGGAGTCTTGGGAACAGAACACCTGCTCCCTGATTTTTTTCGGCCAATCTCAGGAAGTGAGTTGAGACAAACCGGCGCCGTAAAGAGTTTTTGGCCCCTCTCTCGGGGTTTCGCAGGCATCAATTTCCTGAACATGGGATCTAGAAGACAAGTGGGGTCCCTAAAAGAAAGCCACGACCATACTCCACAGTCCAGGGTTCTAAGATGATTTGAAGGGAGGGGGCCTTGGTTTCATCGCACAGAATGAGACTTTATGAACCAAAGCTTGGGTGGAACTGTTTAGATTCGGATGTATGTCTGACTCTTCGGGTGTTCTGCGTCCATCAAACACATAGACATTGGTCTGCGTGATTTCTAGCAAGCTTAGTGAACCGGTTCCCCCGCGCCTTAATCCAGGTTGGTGGAGTATACTTGTTTGTGCAGACAGCCGTGTGGCCTAGACTCTGGGGCGTCGAACAATTGATTTGTCCTCATGTCAAGTGAATCATCCTTCAGCCACTACCAGTGCGATTTTGCTCTTGGCTGAGTAAAGGTCGCGGCACAATTAGTCCATCTCAAAGCAATGGTTGGCCAAAAGAGGTGTTGCGAGCGACGACAGGGAGAAGATGCATGGAGGGTTTGGTTTTTCGAGTTGACGGTGCGTGCGCATGTGCCCGGTCAACCCCCTGCCGCAAGTGAGGTGCTCGCTTTCTTTCTGGGGAGGGCAGGGCGGCGGCCAAAAGCCGCTTGGGCCAGGTGACCCCAGATCGGCCCCCGATGGTCCTGCCCAAGTACCAGCGCTTCTCAGGGGACCACATGCCTCTTGGAATGAAAGCTCCGGGCTTGGCACCCGCCAAAGTCGTCCAGTTTTGTCCGATTTTGTTGCCACATCGGTGGGGAGAGCGGCCTTTGGAAGTCGTATCTCTCTCTCTCTCTCTCTCTCTCTCTCTCTCGGGGGATTTGGGCAAGTCTTGTTCTGCGTCGGTTGAGGCTGCATTGGAGCTCAGCAAGTCACCTCCAGCTTTTTGACCATTCTCTCGTTTTCCGCCGGTTTTCGGATGTCCCCTCCCACCCTTTTCATCAGCCTGGAACCGTTTTCGACGTTGCGGGGGTGGTTTGGACCGACCATTTCCTTTTGAAAGGGAAGGCCGACACGTTCCCGCGGCGTCGGGGTCCATGTTGGGATCCCTTAGACCCGAAGCTGACGGATCCCCATGGCGAGAGGTTGCCGCTGGAGATGAACCCGATGGGCTCCGAGACAGGCGCTTCCTCCGGCTGGTTTCGGTCGGCTTCCGTCGGGTTGGGTGCCTTGGGGTTGGGTAGAAAATGCACACAACCAGGATTCAGAAGACCATATCCCAACCACTCGCCGATGTCCCCTTGTTTCGAGCGCTTAAATTTCCGCCGCGTGGATGACCTGTTTGCGTGGTCCAAAACAATATCCAGGCTCTCAGTGTGAGCTAAGGCTTCGAGTCATAAGTACCAAGTTGCCTAGGGACGGTGGGAAAGAACATAGCAGTTGCACCCTTAGCTGGCTTGAAGCGTGTTTGCAGATTCGCCTGAGAGGTTTTGCCAAGTTTGACAGGAGAATATCCCATCTCACAAGTCCGCGCAGTCTCACGCAGCTCACTTGGGAGAGTGAGCCACACCAGTCTCACCACGCTGAGCGAAACCCAGCTCCCTTGAAACCCTTCGTTCAGCATCACACAGGGCCAGCGAAATGGACGTGCTTCACTGCCGGTTCCCAACGAACGGGGTCCGCAGAGTGATCTAAGCTGGATTTTGATCAGCAGAGGCATATCCCCCTGTCGAGAGGACAGCAAAGAGATTGACACCGGAATGGTCAGTCAGTGTGGAAGAAGACAACATTCAGCAAACTCAGCAAATGACTGTGAAATTGGCCCGCCAGATTGCGCAGATGGAGGTGATGAACCCAGAAGTCTTGAGAGTGACAGCGACAGGTCGTGTTTTTGAGCGATGTGCTGCAGCATTGCGTGGACAAGCTGGTGACTTCTACTGCGAGAGTCGCACGAGTCATCAGATAGCAACATTTTGGAGCCATTCTTGGCACGGAGGGCATTGGAGGAAGATCCTTACAGTACTCATCCTCGACAGTGGCCCTGCGGCAGTGTGCTTGGCTTTGCTCACGGGTCTCCTGGTGATGCTGCTCTTCTGGTTTGAGACTCTTCCTGGCATTGACCTTGGGTTCCGGGATTCCATTGGTAATCCACTCCTTTTTTTTGCATGGTCACTTTGTTCGGGTTTTCTCGTCACAAATTTGGTCCTCATGTTTTGGCGACCACGGACTGCAGTCTTCTTGGACCGAATGTGCATTAGCCAAACAGACCAGAAGCTGAAAGGATCTTGATTGTCAGGCCTGTCGTTCTTGGACCCGTTTCCATCGCTCTCGTCTTCCGATTTTTCCGCTGTTTATATACCTGCCACAACAGCGCCCGTTGAGTACGAGCCGTATATATTGTTGCGGCGGTGGGGGGTCTGGCAGTCTTCTGGTTTGTGGTGCGTTGGATCCGGAGATGAAGGAGCAGCTCTTGTCGATCTCATTTGATATCAGGAGCGCATGCTGTGACGCCAACCGTGTAACCAATTCCCGCGAGCGAGTCCCGTGTGACCGGAAGCTCTTGAAGGAGTGTGTGAACATCTGGTTTGGTAGCCAGCAGGTTTTCAATCACACGGTGCGTTCAGAGGTTTCGGAGATTTTGAGCCATGATCTCATACTGCTCCATAGCGCTGAACCACTGCTGAGCATGGTTGTGAGAGTTGCTTTTCCAGTTTCCACGTTCTGCTATACCAGGATCCTTTTGAACGTGATTGAAGCAGCCATACGCATGTCTGAATTTGGTGCGACAGAAAGAGTGATTTCACGGCCCAGCTTGTTTGTGCTTCATACCAACCTCTAAGTCGACGTTTTTAGTCAAAGGAAAGCCGCAAGTTGACCCCCTAAGAACATTAAAACACAGTTTTGATTGGGACAATTTACAAAGGACACCAGTTTCCTTGGTTTAGCACACCATGTTCCTTGTTCTCTCCTTTTCTTTTTGTATGGGAACTATCCCCGCCGGGGTCCCAACTGCCACCGCTGCTTTCTAGGACTCTCGGTCGATCGATCGATCCGCAGGCCGCACCCTGGCGCGGGTCATCTCCATGCCTAACGTGCGGTAGTCGTGCGGTAGGTGCGCCAACCGGCATTCCCCAGATTTGCGACGTCCCTGGCACCCACCACAAGAACAGCAGGGACCCTTTGTTTGGAGGACGCAATTCCTGAGGTGTTTAGATGGTAATGTATATTTTACACTCTTTGCTTGACTAGAATCCTAATAGCAAGGACGTCTATTTGGAGAACAAAACCTGCAAAGTCTTTAATGGAAATGTGTATTCACCCCCTGTGTTTGAGTAGAATCCCTGGGGGACAGGGAACTCTGGTCGTCCGGGCTAGTTGAGTTGGTTGCGCGCCCAAGGCGCGCAGTCGATGCCATGCGTGCCACACGCGCTTTTCCAGCGGTGGAAGTGCTCCCTGGACCCTTTGGCCAGTATCTAAACGTTCATTCAGTCATGTGTTGATTCATTTGTGTTTGTTTGTTTTGCTTTTGTTTGTTTGTTTGTTTGTTTGTTTGTTTGTTTTGCTTTGGTGTATGTGTATGTGTATGTGTTTGTCTGTTTGTTGGTTTGATTGCTTGCTTTTTTTCTTGTTTGTTTGTTTGTCTGTTTTGCTTATGTGTATGTTTTTTTTGTTTGCTTTCTTGCTTGTTTGTTTTGTTTGTTTGTTTGCTTGTTTGCTTGGTTGTTTGCTTGTTTGTTTGTTTGTTTGCTTGCTTGCTTGCTTATTTGTTTGTTTGTGTGTTTGTTTGCCTTGTTTGTTTCTTTGTTTGTTTGTTCACCTTGATGATTGATTTATTCATGCATTCCTTCCTTCCTTCCTTCCTTCCTTCGTTCGTTCGTTCGTTCGTTTGGTCGTTCGTTCGTTCCCTCGTTCGTATGTTTGTTTGTTTGTTTGTTTGTTTGTTTGTTTGTTTGTTTTTTGATTTATGCATGATTTTAGTCAGATCACGCTAGTGTTTACTTTGTGATGTTATTTTAGAGTTCAATGTATTTATTTCTTCTTCTTGTTGTTATTACTTGTTTGTTGATTTATTCATTTATTCATGTCTAGCTTTCTCTATTCATTTATTGCTTTCATTTTGTTAAAGTTGTTTATTTTGATTCTTTCGCTCACTTGCAAATCTATCCATCTATCCATCTATCCATCTATCCATTTATCCATCTATCTATCTATCTATCCATCTATCCATCTATCTTTCTATTTATCTATCTATCGATCTATCCTATCTATCTTATCTAGCTATCTATTTTATCTATCTTATCTATTGTATCTATCTTATCTATCTTACCTATCTTATCTATCTATCTATGTATCTATCTATTTATCTATGTATCTATCTATTTTTCTATCTAGCGATCTATCCTATCTATCTTATCTAGCTATCTATCTTATCTATCTTATCTATCTTATCTATCTTACCCATCTTATCTATCTATCTATGTATCTATCTATTTATCTATGTATCTATCCATTTATCTATCTATTGATCTATCCTATCTATCTTATCTAGCTATCTATCTTATCTATCTTATCTATCTTGTCTATCTTATCTATCTTACCTATCTTATCTATCTATCTATCTATGTATCTATCTATCGATCTATCCTATCTATCTTATCTAGCTATCTATCTTATCTATCTTATCTATCTTATCTATATTATCTATCTTATCTATCTTACCTATCTTATCTATCTATCGATCTATGTATCTATCTATTTATTTATCTATCTATCTATCTAATCTAATCTAATCTAATCTAATGTAATCTAATCTATCTAATCTATCTAATCTATCTAATCTATCTGATCTATCTAATCTATCTAATCTATCTAATCTATCTAATCTATCTAATCTATCTAATCTATCCAATCTATCTAGTCTATCCAATCCATCTAATCTATCTAATTTATCTAATCTATCTAATCTATCTAATCTATCTAATCTATCTAATCTATCTGATCTATCTAGTCTATTTTATCTATCTAATCTATCTAATCTATCTAGTCTATCTAATCTATCTAATCTATCTATCTATCTATCTATCTATCTAATCTATCTATCTATCTATCTATCTATCTATCTATCTATCTATCTATCTATCTATCTATCTATCTATCTATCTATCTATCTATCTCTTGCTCTATCTATCTATGTATCTATGTATGTATGTATGTATCTATGTATCTATCTCTCTATCTCTCTATCTATCTATCTATCTATCTATGTATCTATCTATCTATCTGACCAATCTACCTATCTATCTATCTATCTATCTATCTGACCAATCTAATATCTTCTAATCTAGCCTAATCTATCTATCTATCCATCCATCCATCTACCTACCTATCTATCTATCTATCTATCTATCTATCTATCTATCTCCTATCTATCTAATCTATCTATTTCTCTATCTCTCTATCCATCCATGGTCTTCTCTTTTTTTTTGGGACATGCCGCGGCTGAAGATTGGCTAACCCCCCAAAAATGGCTTGGACACGTTGGCCTAGCCAATGTGAATCGTATCCTTTGCAAAGAGTTTTGACTGCACACACAAGTGTGTCTTTTGTTTTGGGGACCCCCCCAAAACGGCGGTGGTTTTCCTTCTGGTTTCCCTCAGAACACAACACACCCATCTGGCCACGTCTTTGCCACCCACGTCTATCCCGACTTGAACTCAAGGGGTGCTTCGCCGCTCCGATCGCCGGCGCTTGAAGCGCCTAGTTGCGAAGCGGCAGCGGAGTTGACAAAAGTGCGACGGGCATCCGTCGTTGTTCACAAGCAACCCTTGCGACGATTCAAGAAAGCACCAGTGCTGCAGGGGGTCACCTTTGGCCCATCCTTGGCTTGCTTCCTTATGCAGGATTGGCATCGGAGCCTGATATGTGCTTTCGGTTGCTGTGATGGAAGTACAAGGATTCAAAGTTCCTCAGGCGTGGTGGCCGATTCAGGAAGGTTTCTTTTACTCCAAAGCACTACCAAGGGGAAATTTGTATACATGTTTTTTTGCACCAACCACTTTTCCCCTGAGAAGTGGTTTGGGATAGTTGGAGCTCCCCTCAGACCCTGCAGGCCCTGAAGGTACCCTCACCTTCTGGCAGCTCCGTTTCGTCCGCCCTAGCCTGGCACCTGACAGGGGATCTTCCAGTGGGAGGAAGGGTAACCCGGACAGGTCAGGGGTCTTTGGCGAGGCTTCCATGCTCCCGCCGTTGGCTCCAGCTGTGCCCCCTGTTCAAAGGGCGATTGGCCGACAAACCAACAAAGCAAGAAGTAAAAAAGACAAGCCGAACAGAAGATGGATTTGTATGTCATTTCATTGAGTCCTTTTGACACTTCCCTTTGCTCAGAGCTTCGGTTTCTGCCGTGCGGGGAGAAGAACCCTGGGGTGCGCCTTCCATCGCTGAGTGCGTCGCCTCCGAAGCCATGGCGATAGCCTGGCTTTTCCTAGGCCGACGAATCTCTGTTGGTCGCTCGGTCGGTCGCTCGGTCGGTCAGTGTGTGCGTGTGTGTGGGTTGGCGCGTTGGTGGGTGGGTGGGTTGGTTTGTCGGCTTAAGAAACTTGGCCCCGTTGACTTGGCAATGTTGACACGTGTGACACAGATTCGCCTGCTGAATTGGCGAACAAAAGCTACGCTTTTGGTAGATTTGTTCATTGTAGTGGCACAAGCTGTCATCATTTTGGCAAAGGCTCCAACCGGTCAATACTTTTCCTGGCAAGTCGACTCAGAGCTTAGGATGGGCAGTGTTTGCGGGTTTGCGTGGGTAAGTCAACGATTTGACCGGAAATTGGACACCCGACGAAGGGACTGCGTTTTCTGATTGTCCCAGCTGATGGTCTCAAGTGAGCTGACGGTGCCAGCTGATGGTTTCAACTGATGGTCCAAGCCAAAGGTTCAACGTATTTTGTCAAAATTCAGATCATCCTTTTGAGGTCCTTCAATTGCCGAGTACTTGGTTCTTCCCAACGAGGATTCCCAATGCTGTTGATCGCAAAGCTGTCGACTCTTTGACCAAAAGCAGCTTTTGTCTTCTCTTTCCGAGGGAGTGTTGGCAATGCCGTTATTGTTTTTCCACCATCAGCTAACCTGAATGGTCAGCTCCATGCTTTCACTGCGTGAGAAGTGGATGAGACTTGGCATTTGCTTGGAGAAGCTCCTTTCCCTCGAGGTGCCATGGTCAAGATGATCCCTTTCGGATTTCGGCAGACATTATGCCAGGCAACCCCTTGGTGCTTTGGATTGGTGGTTTAAGGCATTGAACCCCCGTGGTTCTCGTGGGTTGAATGGGAACCCCCACCCCAAGCTCCGAGCCACCGATGCGGCTTGGAGGTTCAATTGGAGGGAAGCTGACTAGGATTCGTGGGCTTGCGCACCATGGCCATAGGCCGAAAGAGTTGGGAAGGAGACTTGCCATGCGCATCAGCGCCAGATGTTCACAGCTTTTGGAGCCGAAGGAGGAAAGGGAAATCATCGGCTTGCAGAGTTCTGTAAATTGTTTTGAAACATATGGCATGTGCTTCAAACGTTGATGTTCATCGTGCCACCTCCTCTTGAAGGCCTTCTCTTTGCTTCCCTATGACAACCAAGCAGGATGCCTCACTTCCAAGTTCCTGATCGTTAAACAAGCGCAAATGGGTGTTTCCGTTCATTTCCCTTTTGGGTATCCAGAAATCCCAAACGGGTGACACCCAAAGACGTGTTTTTTTGGCCAACCGGTCTTGCGAGTGCGGTTTTCCCTTCCGATCCGCTGTGCCCAGTGGCAGCTTTGGGGGCTGCCAAGGACGGGAGAGCAGAGCCGTACCCTGTGGGCCCCAAGATGGGTCTGTGGTGTTTTTTGTGAGGCGAAGGGTGGCCTTTTCTTGGGAATTTTTAAAGGGACACCAACAGGATGCCATCCTCTTTTTGGGTTCCTCTATTTTAAGACTACTTACCCACATGGGTATGGATTTGGATTGGCAGCCTTACATGATTTAGGCGATTTATGTCCAAGCATTTGGGGTGTTCCCCATCAAGAATCAATGCCAAATCAACTTTGCGTAAAGGATACACTTTGGCCATGACAGCAGCCCGAAGGTCGTGGGGGTTTGATTGAGGCAAAATGGATAGAGGCAACACATGAGTCATGGTTTACCTCCTCCAAACCAAACAAATCCACCAAAGTAGACTGAAATACTGGGAAAAAGGGGGCAGTGAGACATTTTCTTTTTTTTACGGGAGAAGCAAGGACCCGGTTCTTCCTTACAGACATCAAAGGGCCTGGGTGTTTCCCGGTCACATGAGGCAATGCATCGGATGCCAGGTCTTGGCTTGGTCTTGTGGGTTTCTCCAAAGGGAACTTAGTTTCAGCATTCGAAAGGCGGGGCCTCGGGTTGGGATGCCACTTCTGCACCCCTTTTGTTGGGGTGCAAGAAGGTGTTCCGGGCTTTTTTGATGGGCAAAAGGTCGAGAAAATGACGTCAGGAGGCGGAGGACGCTCAGAACAACTTCAACGAGAGATACGTCAAGTCAGGGCCTTGGGGAGTTGGATGGGTTGGATGGGTTGGATCGGTTGGATGTTTGGGGTGGGTGGGGTGGGTGGGGTGGGTGGGGTGGGTGGGGTGGGTGGGGTGGGTGGGGTGGGTGGTTTTGGTTGCGGATGAAGGCTGATCGGAACAGGTGCCTTGCCGTTCTTCGTTGAGTAAAGTATGCATTATGTTGGCAAGCTTGGGTTTGGTTAGGACTCCTGGGAACGCTTCTTGGAACTGATGGTCAAATGGGGAGTTGACCCAGGCAATCCGTTTCTGGGCATCTAACACGAGAGCGAAACCTGGAGAGACATCGTTGGTCCTCTCCGGGAATGTTTGCAGATCCCTTCGAAGAACCCCCTCCGATTCTATAAAACATCTGGGTCGGTCTTTGTTCAGGTTGCTTTCTTTGTGACTTTTACAAGAGAAACCAAGAGTACAACGGCCATGTTGAGGGGGGTCCCCCCAAAAAAACGGGACCTTTCTTCCCTCCGCGCTCGGTTTTGGTGGGAACCGAAGCCCAGGTCCTACCTCCCGCCCGGAGACGATCAGTACACGGACAAGTGGGTCGGCGGGAACTCGCCACTCGCTTTGGGCGTTTTCGGGGCTTGGGGAGACCAGACCCAAGTCCAAGGGAATGCAATAGATCCCAGATGTGGGGATTCCTCTTGGGCTCTTTTTGTCTCCGTGGTTTCAAGCTTCATACATCTTTTTTCCCTTTCAACAGGCTTCTGTCAATTTTCAGGGCCAGCGTGGATTGTTGGATGCCGTTTTCAGCTGGAAGCCCCGAGCACAGGCTTCACCAGTGGCACAGGTGATTTGGTTCTAATGTTTGGGCAATCCTTAGGCAAAGTTTTAGGGGTCCTTGTAACGAACATGACACAGTCTTTGGGGTATACAGCCAGTGGCGGAGCGTGCTTGGGTGGGAAACGGATGATTTGGCTCCTCACATGCCCCCAGTTGGTGACCTTGCTGCAACCGCCATTTGAAGGGAAAGTGGCAGGCCCCCAAAGCCTCAGAGTGTGACGTAAAGGGGAGGCGTCACTGGTCTTGACCCATGCCGATGTCAAGCGGTACGGGTGATACTAGTGCTTGCCTTCTTGGTGTCTCCCACAAATGACACTACTCTGCTTCATGCACGATGCACACCCTTTTGGGGGCCACTTCGGCCCCTGAAGCGGGAGATATTTGGAGGCCAACTTGGATCCCAGAGAGGCGAGCAGATGGGAAAACCGCTCGAAAAATTCCCGCGGGGTGACGTGCTTTCTTGTTTCAGCGGCGTTTGTCTCGGGAACCCCCGCAGTTTGAGAGGCACCGTTTCCCAGTTTGGGCTTCCTAGCCTGCACAAAAGTCCCCCGGCTGAGACAAGGTCATGGCGGTCCTACATGTCCCAGTACGGCCGGGGCACCTGGCACTTTGCTGTGGGATGGACCCATTTTGCTGCTTTGACAGGGGATAAGGGACACCGCGTGAAACCCACTTTTCAGGAGACAAGGGACTCTTCGGTGGTTTTGGTTTCTGTCCCTGTTGGCCTGGTTTTCCGAGCACCAGCGTGCCCGGGGAAGAAAATGCGACAACAGCTCGTGCAGAAAGGAGTCGTAGGCTCGTCATTCTGGGTGCGATCCGAATCGCGACTTGACCAAGACGTGGTTTTGCCGGTGTTTGTTTTTGCGACCTCGCTGATTTTAAGATATTATCTTTTGGCTCCTTCTTTGAGGCTTCCTCTCATTGGTCGGTTTTTGTAGTTGTGCCTCCTCATTCTGCCTTTTGAGAGGCAACTTAGGCAACCGGTCGGATTTTCTGGCCAACTGGCGCCCCTTGCCGGGAATTGCTTGTTTTTCCCTCGGCAGGCGCTGCTGGAGATTACCAGAAGTTCCTGAAGCAGTGCGCGGGGGTTTTGGTTGAATCCTTTGGTTTTCCATGCGGCGTGCGTGACCCATCCAAGTTGCAAGGAGGGTATCCCGAATTTTCGGGGGGCGCAAGGTCTGAGGTGAACCTCCTCTGGCTCCTTGGCCACGGGTCCCCCGCGCTCCTGATTCTCTTGCTTGAAATGCAGGGGAGTTGGCTGAGCCAAATGGCCACAGGGTGTTATCAAGGGTGCCCCCAGAAGGGCTATGTGTCGAAACCAGGGAGTCCCCTGAAGTGTCTCCTCATGTTCTTTTTCTGTGACCCGGGCTTTCCAAATACCTCGAGATCGGCGCGAGGTACGGGGGGCCGCAGGCCAACTACGATCAATACGTCAGCCAGGGCCTGAGGGTTGTTTTGAGCCAGCCACATCATAGAGGAAAGATGGCATTGTCATGTTGGGATCCCCAGAAGCATAGAGCCAGACATGACCCTGTGCTTTACTGCGGAACTCTTCAGCAGTAGCAACATCATATAGCAGCAAAAGGGGTACGAATCTGACTGGCCCAAAGCCAATTGTTCGATGCTCGACCTTTTGTTGTTATGCTTTAGGGCATTTGGTAAACAACATACTGCCTGGGTTCGCATTGTTCAAGCAAGTTGGTACTTGGAGGGGTTCAAATGAGGTTCTTCACCTTTCGTTCTCTAGATCTGCCACTTCGCCTGTGGACTTTCCCAGCGCTCCGAGCATTTCACTGTTCGCTTTTCCCACGCTGGGAGCCCTTCGGGTGCGCTGGACACGGGCGGAATTTTTTCAACCGCCCTTCGGGTGCGCTGGACAGAGTCGCCTGGCAGTGTCCCTGGCCCTCCCGCCCTTTTGCCGCGAGTTCCCGATTTTGCCTGGCAGTCACGGAGTCAGTGACGGCATTCCGCCCAATTTTTTCAGGCAGTCATCCAGTGAAGGTCGCCCTCAGCCCCGGAAGCGTGCGCCGGCGGTTAAGGCCTCTACTCGTCAATGGCCGGGCCGGGCGTGACCTCCGGAGACAACTACAAGGACAAGGGGCGGGCGCCTCAGCACTCGGTCTTCCCGTTTCGGGCCAGCGAAAGGCCCCTCTTCCAACCAGACACACCCACACACATGCGCACTCATGTGGTTGACCTTTGCAATCTCACTAGGAATCGTTTGACTCTGTCAGACATCAGCCGCAAGCATGGCCAGCTTGCAGGCCGGGTTCCGGCGAGAGATCAGAGTTTTGTGCGTTTTTAGGCGCGTCTTTGGTTCTCGCTGACAACCAGGGGCGGAATTGGAATGTGACCAGCCTCAGGGGTAGCTGTTCTTGGAGTATGGATGAACACGCGCTGCCCTGGATCCTTCTCTGGGAACATTATTTGGACCCCACGTAACGTGGCAAGCCCTTTTTTGGGTGGGGCATCCCCTTTTTGAGCTGCCAAGTCGCCACGTTTCCCACCGTTTCGCCCGTTTCCTGCGCAGCGCGGCTCGATTCGGTCCCAGCCGTGCCCGGTCCCGGGGGAAAAACCGGCGGTGATCGATGGAGCAGGTGTCCTTTGAGGCGGAAACGGGCGGACCCGAACTCAACGGTTGCAGCACATCTGCAGTCTCACAAGAAGGTTTTTTTTTTTTTTCTAAAGAGGGTACTGTACCGTGGTCCGAAAGGGAAAGTGCGAGACAACCACCTTACGTTTGTTTTTGTGGTAGGGGTCCCCGAAAGAAACGACACACCCAAAAGGTCATCCCCCCAGACTGGCAGGTTCACGGAGTTTCATGGCCATTTATACAGTTGTCCAAGGCTGATGCAATGATTGGGAGGGGAATAACAAACAGGTCCAAAAGGAGCACGCTTCTCCCTTTTGACCACCACCCAAAAGACCTTGGCTGGCCAGTTATGCACGGGTTGTTTTTGGATTTTTTCAGTGGTGGAACCGGCCGATTTTCCATTCATATCGCAGTTGCCTCTGCCAGTTCCTTTGCTTGTGGTAATTCCCGTGCAAAAAAACAAAACGGTGATCTGGGCTTATGCTTCTTAAGGGGATCCCCAAAATGGCGCAACGGTTCTCCTCTTGGTTTCCCTTAAAGACCAAGCAAATTGGGATTCCCCCCCAAAAAAAACCGACAAAGCCCATTTGGCTGTGTCAAATTCAATCGGAGTGAATCTGCAATGCATCATCCCAGACAGGAGTTTGTGTGCCGGATTTCTGCCATCGGCTTTGTAGCATTCCTTCTTTGTAGCAGCAGAGGCTCGTAAATTTGCCAAAGGCGACATGAGCTGAAGCCAAGGTCAGCCTTCACGGCAGTGCCCTCCAAGTAGTATAACCAACATATTTCCAGAACCTAAACCTGCAACTTCCCCTTCCGGACCATCGTATTGCACAAATTGCCGTTGAAGCTGTGGACATGAAGACCAACAGAAAGGACAAAGAGACAGAGATAATGGAAAGGGGATGTGTCGAAGATCTTTTGATAATTGACCCGCCTTCTCTCTCCCCTTCCCACTCCTCTCTTCGTCCTTCTCAAAACGTTTTTCAAGCCTGCGTGATGCTCTGGTCCGAGCCAGATGGCCAATTCACCAGCCCGAATTGAGGAGCCCCCAGAAGTAGGGGACTGGACCTGCCCCTGACACAAAGGCAAGCGGCTCGACTCGGCTCGCCGCAGCGCCGCAGGTGTCCCTTCTCAGCGGCGCGGCTCGCACCTTGAGCTGCCCCCAGGACATCGAGAGAACGAGAGTCGTGACTTTCGTTTTCCCCGAAGAGCTGAAAGCTTTGGGGGCGAAGGGCCCAGATCGGTGTTTGGAGCTTTCAAGCTTTCAGGGTTTCCGGAGACAACCGGGGTTGCATGGCTCTACACAGGGACGATCCGTATGGAATTTTCCGGTTTCCCTTCCAGCTGGTGAAAAGGACGGGTACCCAACCAGAAGTGCAGACGGCCGCTCGGCCTCATGTTTTGCCAGGAGGCTTCGGCGCGGGAGATCCGGGGTCTGGCGGAGGCGCTCTTTGGAGCGTGGGAGACCGAGTTGGGTAGGGCTGGGGTGCTTGGGTGTGCTTGGGGGTGCTTGGGGAGGTTGGCCAGAGAGCCCCAAACAGGGGCCTAAGCTTATCGTAAACGCTTCGCGTTGCCCGCCTCGGCCAGTCCACTCTTGGTTGGCTTTGAGGTATATACTGTGCTTCAGTTTGCCTTGAAGTGATATTATTAAAGTGAGTGAGTCGGCGCCGAAATGCGTGAGCTGGTTTCCAAGCTAGCGGGTGGGCGCATGTCCGCACGATTCCACCTGGCTTCAAGGGCCAGACCGAGAGCCGCACAGAGCTACAGAATGGTGGGCAAGCGCAGGTCCAAATTTCTAGGGTATTGGGCGGCTTTCTTTTTTTGATTTTGACGGTTTCTAGGGGGATTCGACGGGAGCTGGACCTGTTTTCAGAGGGGATTTGACAGGTTTCTAGAAGCGAGTTCGGCTGGCTTCTACGGTTTTTAGGGGGGGTTGATTGGCGTAGTTTTAACGGGAATTTGGCCGGTTTCTAGGGGGATTTGGCCGGAGTGGTGGAGGGGAGGAAGTTGACCGGCTTCCAGCGAGATTTGACCGGGAAGTTGGCCGGCTCTAGAAGGGGATTTGACCAGTTTCTACTGGTTTCAAAGATGATGTGATCGTTTTTCCCCAAACAGTGTGTCTACACTAAGGGGTTCTTACGGTAAGAGAAAAGGCCTTGGTGCCAGATTGAGGTGCCCGCTCTGTCCGCGAGCGTTTTGCGTGGTATTTACCGCAGATTCGTGCTCTTGCTTGATGTCGAAGTGCGTTTCGACTGCGCAGGCTCGCACAAAGTGAGGTGTCGACTTCTGTCCGCGAGTGTTTTGCGTGGTATTTACCGCAGATTCGTGCTCTTGCTTGATGTCGAAGTGCGTTTCGACTGCGCAGGCTCGCGCAAAGTGAGGTGTCGACTTCTGTCCGCGAGCGTTTTGCGTGGTATGTACCGCAGGTTCGTGCTCTTGCTTGATGTCGAAGTGCGTTTCGACTGCGCAGGCTCGCACAAAGTGAGGTGTCGACTTCTGTCCGCGAGCGTTTCGCGTGGTATGTACCGCAGATTCGTGCTCTTGCTTGATGTTGAAGTGCGTTTCGACTGCGCAGGCTCGCAGAACGACTTCTGTTTCGCGTGGTATTTGCCGCAGATTCTTGCTTTTGCTTGATGTTGAAGTGCGTTTCGATTGCGCCGGCTCGAACAAACTCGATTTCTTTGCTTTTTTGGCGGCTCCAGGGACCGTGGGGGTTTTGTCTCGTGGTCCGGCGGCACGGGTTTCCGGCGAGAGGTCCCGGGCTCGATTCCCGCCCTGTCCGCGCGAGCTTGTTTCCCTTTCTTTGGGCATGCTTGGATGGTGCTTCTGTGCTGCGACGGCTTCTCGATGGAAACAACAACCAAACAGCAACAGCAACAGCAACAGCAACAGCGCTACATTCATAGAAAGAAAGAAACACAGAGACAAAACAACGAGAACCAAGGAAGAAGCTACCTAGCTAGCTAACTCACTAAATCAGGCACCCTGTTGAAACAAACACACAGATCTTGCCTTTTGTAGTGATGCTTGCGCAGCCTCGAGTCATGTGTCTTGGGAGACCTTGCGGCTGCGCAGGCGGGTGCTTTGTTGGAAGGTTTGTTTAAGGGCTGCCGCCCAGTGCCGCCATAACGGCACTTTTGAATCGTATAAGAAAAAGATAAGGATCGTCATCATAGCCGTCGCCCATCATCGTCATCATCACCGTTCTCATCATCGATGATAACCATCATCGTGTATCCTCTGCATCACCAACAGTCATGATGATAATGGCGACTACGCACCCTCTGCATCTCCAATCTCATCATCACCGTTCTCATCATCGATGATAACCATCATCGTGCACCAACGGCGCTTTTGAATCGTATATGAAAAAGATAAGGATCGTCATCATAGCCGTCACCCATCATCGTCATCATCACCGTTCTCATCATCGATGAAAACCATCACTGTGCATCCTCTGCATCACCAACAGTCATGATGCTAATGATGACTACGCGCCCTCTGCATCTCCAATCTCATCATCACCGTTATCATCATCGATGATAACCATCATCGTGCATCATCTGCATCGCCAACAGTCATGATGATAACGATGACTACGCGCCCTCTGCATCTCCAATCGGCTCTAACGGGACTTTTGAATCGTATATGAAAAAGATAAGGATCCTCATCATAGCCGTGGCCCATCATCGTCATCATCACGGTTATCATCATCGATGATAACCATCACCGTGCATCCTCTGCATCACCAACAGTCATGATGATAATCATGACTGCGCATCCTCTGCATCTCCAATCGCCATCATCGTGCATGCTCTGCATCACCAACAGTCATGATGAGAATGACGACTACGCATCCTCTGCATCTCCAATCGGCTCTAACGGCACTTTTGAAACGTATATGAAAAAGATAAGGATCGTCATCATAGCCGTCGCCTATCATCGTCATCATCACCGTTCTCATCATCGATGATAACCATCATCGTGCATCCTCTGCATCACCAACAGTCATGATGATAACGATGACTACGCGCCCTCTGCATCTCCAATCGGCTCTAACGGGACTTTTGAATCGTATATGAAAAAGATAAGGATCCTCATCATAGCCGTGGCCCATCATCGTCATCATCACGGTTATCATCATCGATGATAACCATCACCGTGCATCCTCTGCATCACCAACAGTCTTGATGATAATCATGACTGCGCATCCTCTGCATCTCCAATCGCCATCATCGTGCATGCTCTGCATCACCAACAGTCATGATGAGAATGACGACTACGCATCCTCTGCATCTCCAATCAGCTCTAACGGCACTTTTGAAACGTATATGAAAAAGATAAGGATCGTCATCATAGCCGTCGCCTATCATCGTCATCATCACCGTTCTCATCATCGATGATAACCATCATCGTGCATCCTCTGCATCACCAACAGTCATGATGATAATGATGACTACGCACTCTTTGCATCTCCAATCTTCTGCATCTCCAATCTCATCATCACCGTTACGCGCCCTCTCATCTCCAATCTCATCATCACCGTTCTCATCATCGATTGTAACCATCATCGTCCATCCTCTGCATCACCAGCCGTCATGATGATAATGATGACTACGCATCCTCTGCATCTGCAATCGGCTCCAATCATGGCCGTCGCCCATCATCGTCATCATCACCGTTATCATCATCGATGATAACCATCATCGTGCATCCTCTGCATCACCAACAGTCATGATGATAATGATGACTACGCACCCTCTGCATCTCCAATCTCATCATCATGATAATCATGTCCACGCATCTTTTGCATCACCAATGGGCTCTAACGCCACACTTGACATGTATACTATACAAAGACATGGTGACGACTACGTATCAGCATCACCAGCAGTCCTCATGATAATCATGTCCACGCATGATGATGATGATGATGATGATGCTGATGATGATGATGATGATGGTGGTGCTGATGATGATGATGATGATGATGATGATAATGATAATGATATGAAAAAGATTGCAGATGATGATGATGATGATGATGATGATGATAACTATCATCGTAGCATCCTCTGCATCTCCAATGGTGATGATAACTATCATCGTGGCAACGCATCCGCAGCACCCTTCCCGTGCGCCTCCCCCTTTCAGGAGCAGGGGTCGGCGGATCTTCGGATCGACCGGGCTTATGGACGGCGTGCAAGAACGCAGGGATTAGCCGGAAACAAGGTGGGAGAAGTTTGCAGCAGGAAGAGCTTCGGGCGCTGGCAAAGGACAAGCTTCTCGCCGTGCTGCCGGCGGCTTCATTTCAGGCTCTGGACTACGCCGTGCCTGGCGAGATGGGGAGGGAACTGGAAGAGTACGGAGAGGTCCTCGTGGCGGCGCAGGAAGCGGCCAGAGTGACAGAGAGCTCCTTCGTGCATTGGGAGCGGGTGCAGATGAGCTCAGGCAAGTGAGCAGATCGCAATACGAAATGCCAGTGGCAGAACACGCGCAGCGCAAAGTGTGCGCTCCGAGTTGCGCGGCGCCTGCGTTCGATTTCTGAAAGAAACGCCAGTCAGCGACGCTTCGGGTGGGGCGGAGCAGGGCATGACTGCGTCTGCGGCTGCGCGCGCGGGTGAGGGCATAAGCCCGAGCAGTTCCGGCGTGTTGGTGGAGCAAAGCGTGCAGGTTACCTTGGCGATGCTGCTGGAAGCCGCGCCTGCCAATGCGCGCGCGGAATTCGAGCATCTCGGGTCATGTGTCTTGGGAGACCTTGCGGCTGCGCAGGCGGGTGCTTTGTTGGAAGGTTTATCTTCGGATCGACAGGGCTTATGGACGGCGTGCAAGAACGCAGGGATTAGCCGGAAACAAGGTGGGAGAAGTTTGCAGCAGGAAGAGCTTCGGGCGCTGGCGAAGGACAAGCTACGCAGGGATTAGCCGGAAACAAGGTGGGAGAAGTTTGCAGCAGGAAGAGCTTCGGGCGCTGGTGAAGGACAAGCTTCTCGCCCTGCTGCCGGCGGTTTCATTGCAGGCTCTTCTGGGCTACGCCGTGCCTGGCGAGATGGGGAGGGAACTGGAAGAGTACGGAGAGGTCCTCGTGGCGGCGCAGGAGGCGGCCAGAGTGACAGAGCTCCTTCGCGCATTGGGAGCGGGTGCAGCTGAGCTCAGGAAAGTGAGCCGTGTGTGGGGGATCGCAATACGAAATGCCAGTGGCAGAACACGCGCGGTGCAAAGTGTGCGCTCCGAGTTGCGTGGCGCCTCGTCTTTGTGAGTGTGCGCGCAAATACCGCAAAATGATGTTGCAGCTTCCTGACAACAACCGCCGTTTTGCGGCGCTGCCCGCACAATACTCTGCAGCGTGTGACCGCCGCCTATCACTGTTTGGGGTCTCGTGCCGGGGTAATAAGGGAATTGGACAGACTTCCCGGCCCTGGAGGCCGGCTGCTTCCAGGCTCACTTCAGGCGGACTGGAGGCAGCTGGAGCAGGGATTTTGGCCGCGGGGGGTTTGGATGGGGATGGGGTTTAGAAGATCCCAAAAAGGTTCTGAAGGGGGTGTGACCGCTTTCCGGCCCTGGGGGCCGAGGCGAATTGCATGGGTGTTTTGGGGATTGCTCAAGTCGCGAGAAGGCCGGATGTGGGCTTGTTCCGTTGGGAAGGAAGACTTGGTTGTGGAACATTGGGTCTTTATCCTTCCGTCTAGCGGCCAAGAAGTTTGCTGAAGTGAGGAGTTCCACGTTGCTCTCATAAAACATATCTTTTCTCGCGCAACCATGAATAGAACTTGGTTTTTGGAGCGGGCTTGATCCTAACGCATCTCCTGTGCCTGTACATGCATGCACATGTGTACATGTACCTATACTCCAAAATCTCTACATGTACTTGGGCATGAGTTCTAATTAGGGACCCGTGGGTGGACATCATTGAAGGAGGATTCATGCCCACCAATTACTTGTTGGGTGGTTCCCTATCAAAATTCATACAAATATGTAGAACCTGTATGCATGTATTTGTAGGCTTGAGGGGGCTCATGAACGGCTGTCACCCTCGCTTCTTGCTCTTGCTGCTAACAACGCGTGGTACAGGGCGTTGCGTTTGGATGACAAAAAAGTCATACTGTGGATGAACGAAATCCTGTACCATTTTGAAACCATGGTTGAAACCATTGTTTGTTGGTATCGCTGTTTTAGTTTCCGAATCCGACGCTCAAGTTTCCGAAGCATAGTTTCCGAATCCTAGTTTCCGAATCCGATCTTCTAGTTTCCGATTCCGTTTTTTAGTTTCTGAATCACGCAGCCCCACCAGTTTCCGAATCCGCAGCTTTAGCTTCCGAATCCGATGTTGAGCGGGGAGGGGTGGCCCTCATTGGGATTTGTTTAGCTGGAGTGGCAGCGCGCTACTCCAGACCATCGCCTATTGGGATGTGAATTGAGAAACCAAACATCGGCGCCTGAGGCCGAGGCTCCGGCTCTTTCTGGACTCTGCGGAGGCAGAGGAGCTCCAGGCGTTTCGGTGGCGACGGGAGTTATGGTCGTTGGCGTCGCAAGTTGCTGTCGCTCCCTGAGTTCCGGTTCGGGGTTGGGGGCTGGGGGATGGAGTTCTTGGTGAATGGGGTGGGGATTGAGGTTGGGACTTTCGTCACTTTTTGGGATTGGTTGCCATGCTTAGTGGCAAATGGAAAGTTCGGATTTTTGTTGGCCCAGCCACTCTGGAAGTGAGTTGCGACTTGTTTTGGACGGTCGAAAGTTGGTTGGGAAAGCTGGGCAGCCATCGTTTTACCACAATCAAAGTCACCATCTAAGTGGTAGGATAAAGGGAAACCATCCCTTTTTCCCCCGATAGCTGAAAGCTAACTGGGTTCTAACTTCTCATAAAGAGCGGGAATGCGAGATTGATGGCTGGGTGCTAGGAGGCATGCAGTCTGGGGTGCACGTGCTGTTTTTGGGGATGTTAGTGACGGTGCGGGCGCAGTTTTGCAAGATTGACGGCAGGGTGCTACGGGGCACGCAGTCTGGTGTGCTGGTGCAGGTGCTGTTTTGGGTTGCTGCTTGTGGCGTTTGTTTTGTTGAGATGCCGGTGACTGTGCGGGCGCATTTCTGCAAGACTGACGGGCCGGGTGCTAGAGGGCATGCAGTTTGGCAGGTGCTGCTTTGGTTCGGGGTGGTGCTGGTAACGCTGCGCGTTTTACGGGATTGACGGCCGGGTGCTCGGTGCTGTCTGGGGCGCAGCCAACAAAAAAACACCCTCAAAGAATCAGACAGATTCATATGACAACATGGTTGTGGGTTGGTTTCCTTTCGGTTTTGTGCTGTTCCCCCCCAAAAAAACAAGACGCGGCCGGTGGGGGGGCGTTCTTCGGGTCTGAGGACACGTGCGCCGCGAAAGATCTGGCGGGTCGCAGCCTCTTCGCGGTGGCGCAACTTGGTTTTGCTGGGGGGGGAGGGTAGCTCCGGGGTCTGGGGGGGCTGGGGTTTGGGTCTGGAAGGGTTTGGGACATGGAGAACCATTGTTTACTGGTACTTGCAAGGGAATCATCATTCCAGGGTTTCTTTGGTGCGAAAGGGATTTCGACCATCCGCAGTAGGTCTGGGGTCTGGGGTTTGTGTTGGCGGCTTTGGGGTTTGGGGGTTGCAGGTTGGGGTCTGGGTTGATGGCTAGGGAAACCCAAGAGATGGCGAACTCCATTTTGTGAGTTCCGTATCTCTTTGCTGAGGGCCTCCCTTGAACGCTGCATTGTTGGCCCTGGCCAACGGAAACCAGCGGTTTCTGGGCGAAGAGGAAAACCCCACCATTCCCGGATGTCCATTTGGGAAACAATCAAGTAGATCTTCGCTGCGTGATGTGGAGTCACCTGAAAGATGTCATTTTGATAACCTGACAGAACCCGACAGAACCCCTATACTAACCCTCAACGTCACAGATGACAGTAAATGTTTGGTTTGCACTCTCCTGAAATCATCATATGAGCAACGGTTACGCGGGATGACATGGATCACACTCGCCAAATTACGATGAGGAAAGGAAAGGGGGTTACTCACCAAATTCCCATGTCAGTCGGGGACACAATGATTGACCGTGGCTCATATGGGAAGAGAAGAAAACAGAACATGACAGTTGGATCTTTGAGCATGTCCGTGTGGCATTCGCGCTCTCAAACAACTGCTCAACTGCGAGGCCACATGTTCCCCGCTGTCCTCACCCAAAAAAGAACACAAAAAAGCAACAATAGAACGCAGTAATTAGTGCAAGGGGAAGTGGAGGCGTGCTTAACCCCAGGTTTCCCGGATCGCCTGAGCGCCAAAAACAAACCGCGAGATGTTTTAGGCAGTCGGAGCCGGAGTGGTGCACCAACAAGCGCTTCTACAAGGCCGGCTAAAAGCGCGTAGATGCGCGCTTTTCGGGGCAAGACCGTGGGTGAAGCTTCCCCGGGCACTTATTTGGGTCTGTGTTTTTGTGTGCGTAGCCTACATATTTTAGCAGGGCTCCTTAAAAGATACACTTTGCCCATTTGAAACATGGCTTTTCCTGCCAAAATAAAGGGAAATCACCATTTACAAGTTGCAATCTTCGGGTGTACAATGTAAGGATCCCTGTTTAGGAGTCCCCATACAAAGATACCGTCATTTGTCGGTTTTTCAGCCAACTGGCATGGGTCAACAAGCTGGCGGCCGAAGTTCGCTTTTCAACGTCCCCAGCCCGGAAGTGTGTCTGGAATGCACCCCAACTGCGGGCTCTCAGCCCCACTTTTTTTTTGTTTCCCAGAGGATGGGGGATTTGTCCTACCCACAGGGGCCCGTGAGGGTTCCCTACATTTCCCGTACCTGGTTGCCCATGTAAATATTGCTTCAAGGGGAGATATGTCTTCAACTCGGGGGGACCCTCCAAGCCGTGTTTTTTCGGCAAGCCCATCCGCTTCAGGGCTACGCTCATGGGAGGCATTGTGGGAAGGAGGAGGATTCCTGGGACATCACCATCGAAGTCCTGAAAGGCGGGCCCGAAATGGGGTGGTGAATCAAAAGGTGAGCACCAGGTCCCGCATTTTGAGAGGGATGTTGGCTCTCTGGTTGGTGTTGGACCTCGGGAGGCCTCTTGTGGGGGCAACAAAAACCCATTGGCAGGCGGTTTCGTCGAGGACTTGGCATCCACACGTGCCACTCATGGCTGAAGCTTCGCTCGCTGGGGTCCATTGATCCGTTCCGGAAAAATGGGGGGAGCCCAGGCGAATGGGTCAAAGGCCTCCTTGCCGCTGATGGGGCTAGGGCTCGCAGAAATTTCATCCTGACGCAACTTGACGCCCAGCCAGAGAACCCGAGTTGAAGAACAGAGCACGCACCCGAACAAATTGAAGTGATACAGTCCATGGGGTTGAGAATCCCACCTCTGAATCAACAGACAGAGCAAGGGTGATTTTCCATTGAGTGCTCAATAGCTCATATTCTTTGATTTACGCAAAGAGAAACCAGCAAGGGATGGGATTTTGTGTTGTTTTTCCCGGTTCCCCCTATTTAGCCCCCTGTTCACCATGAACAGAAACATGGGAATCTGCGATTCCTTCGGTTGTGACATGTCAACTGTTGATCCACTGCTGCCACCATGGCCCTAGACAGAGGGGCCCCTTTGTCCGCTCGACACCGAGCCACGGTTGCGACCGCGCCAGTGGGCGCGTGGACATTCGATCTCAGCGCAAAAGAGCGCTTCGGCTGCTGCGAGCCTCCTTGACCCCCGGTCATTGCATTGGCAGCGGAGCACGGTTACACGATCCGGGAGTCCGAGGAACACCCGCACTTCGCCTTCGGCTCGTGCCCCGGCCTTGAGGGTGGCAACCTGGTTTTGACTGAGGTGTAGATCTCCGTCGGGTACCGACGTTGAGGACCATCCTGGTCACACTGGACACCTCAAGGACCTCCTGCGTTACAACATCAAGATCTCCCCACACCTGAACTCCCTCTACGGCAACCTCCTGGAACACATCAACTACCAGGCCACGAGAACACCATCTACGGCAACCTCCAGTTCAACCTCAACATCAACACGATGTCAGACAAGGAAGGCCACATCCCACAATGGGATGGATCTGCACGGACATGGAGACGGTACACCCGTGAAGTTGCCTGGTGGGTGATGAGCGTCCCCTTGGACAAGCGGCGCTACTGCGCGACCAAATTGGTGAGTCGATTGACGGGCCCAGCACGGATCCTAGCCATGTCCTGGCCTCTGCAACTGTTTGACTCACCAGATGGTACGCGAGATCTTCTCAGACGTCTGGCCGGCTCTCCTCTGGTCAGACAGAGCCTTCCCAACACGGCAGCCATCTGCGCCCAGTACTTCGCCTTCAAGCGGCTGCCCCAGGAGAGCATGAGTGCCTTCCTCATCCGCGAGACCCTCGGCTACGCGGAGTTCACCGAAGCCCTGGTTCGTCTGTTCGAGGAACGCAAGGGCATCAAGCAGGAGGACAAGGACTTCGGCATCCCCAGTGGTTCACCTGAGCCCTTCCTCCAAGAAGATGATCAAGATCAAGATGAGCATGAATCCGTCCCCGACGAAGCTACCACTCCACCAAGAACAAGGGCAACAGACGCCTCTCAGGACGGCAGCTCCCCTGATGCTGCACCTGGTGCTTCCCCTGGCAGGTCTTCCAGACCTGGCAGCAAAGGCAAGGGCAAGGACATCCCTCATGCGCAACCTCCACTGGACATCACTCAGGTGGATGTCATTGACGAGATGTCCCTTGCCGACTCCTTCATCATGGGCGTCCTGCGTGGCTGGCGTCTTCTACAGGCTGCCAGCTTGACCAGCGAAGAAAAACGTGATATCCTCAGCACCACCCAAAACAGCATGAACTACGACTCCATCAGTCGAGCACTGCAAATGCTGTGGGATGATCAACTTCTTGGACAACGCCAACCTCACGCTGTACAGCATCATCTACATGTTCAAGAACAAGAACCTGGCCCTCGACCTGATCCATGGCACGATCACTATGCCAGTGTCCAATGGTGGGATCAGGATTGGCACCAACACTGGACTGCCGAAGACCAGACTTCCTGGGACTGGGACAACGAGTCCGAGTCGAAGGACACCAGTCCTGCCTCTCCCCATCTCGACCCGGCTGAGGAGTCAAAGCTCAAGGAAGCACATCAAGCTGAACAGCTTGCCGAACAAATGGCCCAAGAAGCAAGTCGTACCTGGGCTGAAGCCAAACGAGCCACGGCCGCCATACACCGTGACAGAGGCTTCGGCAAGGGCAACTCCGGGAAATGCTACAACTGTGGCGGCGCTCACTTCATCCGCCAATGTCCCGACCTTCGGCATGCACCACATCCCAAGGGATCCTCTGGCAAGAAGGGCAACTCTCAGTTCATGGTTGACCCTTACTACGACGACTTCTACCAGCACAAGGGCTCCAAGAAGGGCAAGTCCAAGGGCAAGAACACCTACTCCATGGACTATGATTACGACGCCATGTACTTCAAGGGCAAATCCAAGCACTCTGGATCTGGTAAAGGCTATGGCGCGACCCCTTCGCGAAGTTTTGTCAACTCCTACACGGCCGAGTTCTGCGGCCTGGACATGGACCTCCACGGTGGTGAATGTATGCCTGCCACCATGCCATCCACCAGTGGTGATTTTGAAGGCATGGTGGACTGTGGGGCCACAGCATCTGCTGGCCCAGAAGAGGCTGTCAAGGGCCTCATACAGTCCATTGTGGCACAGGACCACTGCACCGTTGTGGAGATTGATCAATCCGCTCGCCCGTATTTCCGCTACGGGAATGGGAAGTGGGGTCAGGCTCTTTATCAGGTCACCCTCCGGAGTGATGTATCAGGTACGCCCAAACAGTTCAAGGTCTATGCCCTGCCCAATCCACCAGAGCTACATCAACCTGGTTTTGACAGATCTATGCTGGTTCCTATCCTGGTTGGTATGGATCATCTGGGACCTCACGGGGCTGGTATGATGATTGATTTCTCCACCGGCATGACCCTCAACAGTTTGGAGAGTGACCCCAAGCCATATCCTTTGCGCCACAACCACAAGGGACACTATGTGTTGGACATCAGACAGTTTCTCACCAACGGTCTCAGCAATGGTAGGGGCCACCCCAAGATCCATGTTCGTGGTGCCGGGCAACGTCGTATCCATGATTGTCAGGTTTTGGAATTCCACACGCTCCGTGTTCAACTGGATTCCCCAGAACATGACTGCCAACACGTTGAACATGCACCACCTGACACCCGGACAGTTGCACTGATGATGCGGCTCCGTAGCGCATCTGCTCAGATGTTAGCTAATCAGGTTACCAGTGACACCCCAGTCTTTGGTGCCACCTCCGAGTCCCATGGCCTACACGACCCCGGTTCCGACCGCGGACGATCTGGAGACCATGGACCTGCTGTCAAAGATCAAGGAGGCGGTCCCAAAGAAGAAGGGCGTCAAGGAATTCGACGAGACCCGCAGTGTCCCCCTGGATCCTCGGGACCCTCGAAGCCATCCGGACCAGTGGCCATGCTTCGCCCGACATCTGCCGGGCAGCTACGGAAGCAATGCTCATGGCAAGTGGAACCATTGCCAAATATGCAATCTGAGGCTGTCCTACATCCCTCGCAAGGGCAGCCCAGCCAACAGCACCCAAACTCACAATCCCGGCATGGTGGCAAGGATGCTGAAGGAGCTCCAGGACCTGATGGGCGACGTCCGCCCGACCTCGGAAATCTGCCTGGCCATGCAGGAAAAGATCAACGCCGAGGAGAAGCTGTTCCACAAGATCCAGATCGCAAAGTCCGTTTCGAAGAAAGCAGCATCCTCAACGACAACTTCCGGGATGAACTCCAAGTCCAAGGAGCGCCCTGCGCAGAAGGCGGAGTCTTTCCACAGCTGGGAGAAGATGTCCACGACCTCCGAACCACCTCGCGAGGTGGAGCACAGGGCCACCACGATTCTGGCGGACCTGGATCAGCACCTCACCGAGGAGGAGAAACTCGAGCTCTTCAACACCCTGACCATGCGCAAGACCCAGCACTTCGGGGACAATCCCAACGCGGAACCGATGGCGTGAAGAAGCTCCCCAACTCTGTTGGTCTGCGACTTCTACAACTCATGAGCCTCATGACCACCAACCTCGCGAACGCCACGGCTTCCATGGTTCTCGACGAACGGGATCTCCTGTGGGAGGTGGCCTGCTCCGACAACTCATGGCTCACCTCCGAAGTGCAAAATCATGGACTACCAGCACGCCGCATCAATTACAACGCTGGCTTTGACATCTACGACCCCCAGACATGGGTACGCCTTCAAGACCTACGGCGACAACACCGACCCAAGCGCATTTGGTTCTCCTTCCCATGTACCAAGTGGTGCCAATTCACCAACTTGAACTACAACACCCCGGAACGTCGAGAAGTCCTTGAAACAGCCCGACGTCGAGAACGCAAAATGCTCAAGAACGCCAAGCAGTTCATCCTGCAGGCCCTCGACGAGGACCCGGACTTCGACATCTACTGGGAATGGACTCATCCCTGCGCTGGGTGGGAGCAGCAACCCGTGGTTGACCTTCGTGAAGGTCTGCGAGCCCGTGGTCTGGACTGGCTTCCCTGCCGAGTTGACGGCTGTCGCTATGGCATGACCAACAAAGCCGGCACTGAACTCCTGAAGAAACGGTGGTTGATCCGTACCACCGATGAGCGCTTCCATCAGACCTTTCGCGCTCGGGTCTGCACCAACAACCACAACCATGCACGAATAGAAGGAGCAGAGACGAGCCGCTCCAGCTACTATCCACTGCGACTCGTGCAAGCCATCGTCCGTGGATGGCTATCTGAACTTGCTCCACAACGGTACCTCAAGTACCTCTCGGCCTGTCAGAACCTGTCTGACAAGGACGTCACCCTGGATGACGACCACTGGAACTTCAAGCACTACCAGCACAACGGTATCACCTCCATGGACCCAACTGGGCCATCGCATGCATCCCTCTCACCATCTCGCGAACCTTGGGAGGCAACTCAATCCCTAGCTCTACCTCCTGGTCATGTTCACGATGATCTCCATGCTGGAGAACTCCATGCGGATGGTCACCCCGCTAGTGAAGCAATTTTGTCTGTGCCATCAGATGTACCTCAAGATGGTCCAGAACACCGAGCTTGGTCTGCCAAGCTACACCACTTCCACAAGGCCGCTGGGCATCCCACCAACCGCAACCTTCTGCACCTACTTCGAGATGCTCGGCTACCCGAATGGAAGGTTCAAATGGCTCGCGACTTCAAGTGTGCCTCGTGCGATGCTCTTCGACCTGGCGGATCCTCTTCCGGAAGTATACCACCGGCATCCACGCATCCTCTGTATCGCGCCTGGCAAGCCATTGGCGTCGACGTGACCGAGTGGGTGATACCCAATAGCAAGCTGAAGCTCAAATTCATGCTGATCATGGACCTTGCCACACGTCTCCGAGCTGTGCATGTCATCAAGTGCTACGATGTCCTCAAAATGCAGAGCGAAAGCTCGGCAGACATCATCAAGGGTCTAGCTGAACGGTGGCTGGCCGACAAACCACGGCCAGAAGTCGTCATCCCTGACAACGGCATCACCCTGGTCTCTCGGGACGTGAGCGACTTTCTGTCCGACATCGGTGTACAACTTGCACCTCCTGCGGAAAAGGAAAGCTGGGCACATGGCCAAGTTGAGTCCGCAATCAAGGACGTCAAGATGACAGCATCAGCTATTCAGCTTGGCTCCCCTTCTCAGGACCCTGTCATCACTCTGCATCTGGCCATCGCCGCACTCAACTCAACCGAGTACGTCAAGGGGTACTCATCCTTCCAGTGGTGCTACGGCAAGGACTACTCCATCACCGATGAGGACGTGAGAACCTTTGCCACACTACCTGAGTCGCCCGACGACGACTACGCACGTCTAGTCCAGCTACGTCAGAGTGCTGAACAAGTAGCACGCAAAACCCGTGCCCTTCGTGTCCTCTCCAAGCTCAGCAACTCGACTGTGAGACAGCCCATCAGGACCTTCCATCCCATGCAACTTGTGATGGTATGGCGCAAGCAATGGCCATCCCACGTTTACGTTGGCAAACGAGGCGGTGCTCGAAAATCCGGACGCCCGCACTGGATCGGTCCTGGCCGAGTGGTGTTTCACGAGATCCTTCCACATCAACAACCAAGTGACGCCCGAAGGCACATCGTCTGGGTGCTACTGCAGAACCAGCTCTTGCGCTGCTCTGTCCACTCCGTGAGACCTACCACGCCCCTGGAAGAAACCCAGTTCGAGATCAGTGCTAAGGAAGACGTCTCCCGGTGGCGCTCCCTCTCCGACATGCTGCCCAACAAGGAGTTCATCGATCTTGCCGACGATGAACCCGGAGTCGATGAACAAGAGCAGCCTGATCTGCCCGATCTCCCCAACAAGGAGACCATCGACATCCCCAAGAGGCGGATCCGTGTGAAGTCCGCACCATTTCTGGTTCCTCCACGCCCTGCTCATGTACCCTTCATGGCGGACGACCCGGACTACACCCCCGAGTCACTTGACAGCTCTATGGGACCATCCATGCCGGAGATCTCGACTGAACCTCAAGCCTTACCACCTGATCTACCTGGCAACTCAAGCCCAAGCGCTGATCCCGCAGCTGAAGATCCCAACAGCTATGAGCCAGACAATAAGAAGCAACGCACCGACGGCTATGACCTGGGCTGGCTCGAGGAACTACACCAAGTTGAAGGTGATCTCCATCAGCTCCTCATCGACTCCCAGGAGGTGATGAAGATCGAGTTCGACGTTGACCTTAACTCCCACCGTAAGGAGAAGGACTTCCTCCGGGACGCCTCGGCCTTCATGGTCAAGAAGATGAGAGACAGCGAGGTTGTGCTCTCCCGTCTCTCTCCTGAACACAGAGAACTCTTCAGCAGAGCCAAGTCCAAGGAAGTCAGCAGCTTCATCAAATCTGAGGCTGTTCGCAAGGCTCTGGACAACAAGGAGGTCAGCGAGGCCTTCGACTCTGGCCGCATCATGCGAGCCAGATGGGTTCTCACCTGGAAACCAACACCTCCAGAAGATCTTCAAGAAGCTCACGCCGAGGCGAAGTCCAACGCCAAGTCCACCTACACCAAAGACGGTCAACGCAAGGCAAAAGCACGCATTGTGCTTCTCGGCTACGAACATCCGGACCTTCTTCGGCCTGAGTTCAAGACCTCTAGCCCTGTGCAGTCTGGGCTGGGAAGAAACCTCCTGTACACCATGGCCTGCACTCATGGCTGGGAACTTGAAGGTCTCGATTTGGCCACTGCATTCTTGCAGACGCAGCCCACAGAAGCGGATCAAGATCTGTGGACTCGCGGTGTGTCAGAGCTTCGTGAAGCCCTGGATGTTCCAGCAGACGGAGTCATGAAGATTCTCAAGAACATCTACGGTTCAACGACCGCACCAAGGGGACTTTGGCTGGACCTTCACCGGCGCCTAGCCTCCATTGGCGGCAAACCACTCATTGGTGAACGCTGCATCTGGATCTGGCAGTCAGCCACGGAGAAGGACGCCTTCGGCATCCCCCTGGTACTAGGCATCATGGGCGGCCACGTGGATGATTTCCATCGCTGTGGCAATCGCCTCTCGCCTGAGTGGGTTCAGGTCTGCTCCCAGATCGACAAGCTCTACGAGTGGGGCACTGCCAAACGTGGCAACTACCGGCACGCCGGAACCGACCTGACCTCCATCATCAACAAGGACGGCTCCGTGGAGGTAAAGATCAATCAGCAGTACTACATCGACTCCATCGCCGATGTGAACATTGATCCCGATCGCCTTCGTCAAGAGAATGCGGTCATGAACCCTGAGGAGGTAGCTGCCTGCCGCACTACCTGGGGCAGTCTTCAATGGCTGGCCTTGCAGACTCAGCCGCAGCTCTGTGCCAGGTGCAACCTACTTGCATCTGAAATCACGACCAAGCGCCTCATGCAATCGGCGCTGGAACTTCAACAGCTAGTCGGCGAGATTCGCAAGCACGCCTACCAGCTGCACTACAAGAAACCACCTGGAGTCGAGTCATGGCGAGACATGGTGTTTGTGACCTTCTGCGACCAGGCCCACGCGAACCGCAGCAAGATGGACTCCACCGGCGGCTTGATCTCAGTTGCTACCGGACCTCACGCAAGCGAGGGCAAGGTCACATACATGGCACCCCTGGCATGGCGAAGCTGGAAGCTGCGCCGCAAGGCCATATCCTCAAATGATGCTGAAGTCCAGGCAATCCTGGATGGCGAGGACCAGAACTTCCGCATCCGCGTGCTCTGGTGCGAAATGAATGGAGCCGGTCACGATCTCACCCCACACGAAGACAGGGTGGAATGGGCTGAACGCATGGCCCGCGGCATCAAAGGCATTCTGGCCACCGACAGCAAAGGCGGCTACGATGCGGTGATCTACAACGAGTCACCCATGCTTGGGTTGAGCAACGCAAGAGCCGCGCTTCAAGCTCTTCAACTTCGGGAGCATCTCACCCGAACCGGAGCTGAACTTCGTTGGGTGGCCAGCGACTATGATCTCGGCGACGCCTTGACCAAGAAGAAAGCTGAGTGTCGCCTGGGTCTCACCAAGTTTCTTCAAACAGGCCTGTGGAGTGTTGCATACGACAACACCTTCACTTCAGCTCGCAAGAGCCACGGCCAAGGGCGTTCTGCCATCAAGGACGTGACGGCACATCAGCAACGGGATCAGCAGTTGAGAAAGGTTTTTGGCCCATGCGATTCCTTCGGTTGTGACATGTCAACTGTTGATCCACTGCTGCCACCATGGCCCTAGACAGAGGGGCCCCTTTGTCCGCTCGACACCGAGCCACGGTTGCGACCGCGCCAGTGGGCGCGTGGACATTCGATCTCAGCGCAAAAGAGCGCTTCGGCTGCTGCGAGCCTCCTTGACCCCCGGTCATTGCAGAATCCCAAGAGTTTGGGACTGACACATTTCTTTCACCTTTTTCTCAGGTTCCATGTGGTTCTTGGGAAGTGGAGACTTGTCTTCCCTGAACGGCTGCCCGGGGATGGGGTCTCGACGGGTGTATTTAGATAGGATAAAGGTCCGGGAAATTGGCGGCTTTCTGCACAAGGCACTTCATTTTTCAATCAACTATAAATTAAAACAAAAATACGGACCCCCCCCCATATTTGGTGGTGTGCAAGGGAAACCACAAGGAACGCCCAAAGGCCGCCATTCTGGGGTCCAAATCCTAAAAAAGAGACGAGCTCATTGTCTCCCCCCTTTTGGGGGGGGGGCAGCGGCGGGGCCAGGTGGCGACTTCATATACACCAAGAAGGCCCCTCGAGGGGGGGGGGCTGGTTCCTCGGGTGCCAAATCTTGGGTGCTTTTGGCAAACCTTGCCTGTCGTTTGCCCATGTTGGTTCGCTTTTCGGCGGGATGCTTAAGGACAAAGGAGCCCTGGAAGAAGCCGGTTCCCTTGACACAAGACCTCAAATGGGGGATGTCGGAATTCGTCGGGAAGAGTCCTATCAAATTGCAATTCCAATCGGGTGTGTAATCCGGCTTCACCCTGGAACAGACTGCGCTGGGACCTCGAAATGGCTCGAATACTTCTCAATCAACCAGGGGTTTGTGTCTCCATCCGCATGTTCGGGCCGGTGCCTTTGCCAGGTAGGATTTATTTCGCTCCGGAATCAACTTTTCCCCAGACTTTAGGGGTTCTAGTTCCCCAGACAGCTGAAAGCTATAGTTCCCCAGATAGCTGAAAGCTATAGGGGTTCTAACTTCTAATAAAGAGGGGAAAGTGATTTGCGAGATTGATGGGCTGGTGCTAGGGGGCATGCAGCAGTTTGGGGTGCTTGTGTAGGTGCTGATTGGGGTGCTGTTTGAGGTGCTGATGGCAGTGCGGGCACATCTTTTCCAGATTGACGGTAGGGTGCTAGGGGGCATGCAGTTTGGGGTGCTTGTGCAGGCGCGCGTGCACTTTTGCGTTTTGACTATTTGTCGCAGGGGAACGCAGTTTGGGACGCTGGTGCTGAGGGTGCTGTGGGGTGCAGTTTTGTGGGGGGCTGAAGGACAGAAGCTTGAGTGACAGTGCTTGCAGCATGATGCCCTGGCACGTGCAGGACACCTATTACGATGGCGTGATGCAGTTTTTGCTTGGGGTGTTTTTTTTTGGGTGCTTTTCAAGGTGCTTGTGTGCAAGCAGGTCTATGCTGGTGTAATTTCTAATAAAAGGGGAAGTTATTTGCGAGGTTGATGGCAGGGTGCTGGCGGGCATGCAGTTTGGGGTGCTGGTGCATGTGCTGTTTTGGGGTGCTGTTTTGGGTGGTGGTGCTGGTGACGCTACGTGCGCATTTTGTGGGATTCGCGGCTGGGTGCTCGGATGGTGCTGTTTGCGGTGCTGTTCGGGGTGTGGTTGGATGCCACGTTTTTCCGAGATTAACGGCAGGGCTAGGGGGCATGCAGCGTGGGGTGCTTGGTGCAGGTGCAGTTGTTCGCTACTTGGAGTCTACTTTGGAGTCTATGCCTTTTGTTTAATTATTATTATTATTATCCATTTTTTTCGGGGTGTTTTCTCATGAACATCTTCCAGGACAACAAGTGGTTGACTCTCCCACGAAAAGTGCGACAACTCTCGTGGGAAAGCACGGGCCCTTGGAAGCCCCAGGACCACAGCCACGACGCGGAGTGCGGCTTCAGGTTTGACAAGCGGCTCGGAGTTCGATCCGATGTGGAGCAACTTGCGGGGAAGCGGCACTAGAGCCGGTCCCTGGACCCTCAATTGGTTAAGACGCGGGGTTTGAACCATCTGGCTCGTTGAAGCTGCGTTTCCCCTGGAGGTGAGCCACAATCAAAACCCGGGTAGATGAAGGTCAGTAAGGGACAATCCGCATAAATAGTTGCGGCCGCCTTCTTAATTCATTGCATGATTCTGGGTCGACCATTTTAATACCGGGTGTTAATTGTGACTCAGGCGATGTTTTCCCTGTATTTTCCCTGCTTGGGGGGGGTTTTAACTGGCTCGGAGGTGAGCTTCCCTGGCATCGTTTTGTTTTTTTCCTTCTCTCGGGCAACATATCTTCCGGTTCCTAACAGTCATTCTTTTAGCAGGGGATCTGTTTTGCAGCCCAGAAGTCACGATCCAATTTCGCAGATGGCCGATGGAGCCAAGCCTGGTGGCCGATTTCTTTTTCTTCTACGAGCGTGCTTCAAAGAAAGTGGCACTAAAGACTGTTCGATTCCGAAGGGATGTACCTCAGGGTTTTTACAACCCTGCTTTATTTGGGGTTTCCTTGCAACACCTACCCAATTGGGGCTCTCCAATGTATTTGACACCCCCGTATCTTGGTTTGTCCTTGCCCTGGCGAAACAATCAACCAACAGTCAGAGTTTTGCCTGGGACAAGCAAGCTCACGCAATTCTCGCAGTGAGTTCTTCGCGCGCCTTTTGGCGCGCTGCCCATCTTGGTTTAGATGGGCAAGTCAAAGCAATCTGCCCATCGAGCTCACCCGGCGGCTTGTCAAAGGACCTCCCGGAGATTGCTCCGAATATTTTTCTGGGTCTTGCACCAATGGGTTGTTGCGACCTATGTAGACCAAGACGGCACCAAGGGCGAAGGCGAGTGATGCCCTTCGCCATGTCCAGGGATCTCTTTTGCAATAGGAACAGCTTCCACGGGGAAGCTTCCATTTGCTCGAGGTGAGATCCTGACAAATCTTCCCAGTTGGATTCTTTTTTGGGATTTCCAATGGCACTGGGGAAGCATTCCTTAAGAAAAGTGACGATCCTTTCAGCTGTTTGGGCCGGGGCCTTGCGCCTAGGCACACGAAAGCCGAAGGCAAGTGGCACTGCAGCTGGGATGAGAAGAAGCAGGACGAGGCACTTTGCGGCGCGGTTTGTTGGGTCGAAGAGTCGGGGAAGTTTCAGGCGTCCGTTTCCCGTGTCCGCAACACAATGCACTTTTAAGAATTGGAACCACCTGAAAAGTGGTTGGTTGACATGAATCCCCCGCCGAATTCTGATATCCAGCAAAGGGTCCTAATTGCCCAAAGGGCGATTTGAAAAGAGCGATGGGTGGGCCTCCTTTCGCACATAAATAGGCCCCAGAGCTAATCACCTGAAGCAACCAGAGCCCTATCCGAGTATCCTTTCTCTTCTTTACTGGCCCTGCATCCGCTTCAGTTGGACATGTACCCCCGAACTTCCGCTTTGGCCACATGGAATTCCAGCTCTTCGCCATCGGGCCATGATCCGTGTTTACCCAAGATGCAACGAAACCTGGGTCCAAAGGGGTTTGTCACGGTTTGCCTCTAACTGGGGGAATTAATTCCCAAAACAGGTGTCCATTTGGTCTTTGCTTTTGACCCAGATGGATTCCATGGTATTCCCTGAAGGTTCGGGTGGTTGTGAAAGGTTTTGTCTGAACCATCACCTTGCGGCACCTTCGGCGGGACCCACAGAATGTGGTGGGTCTTTCAACTTTGGTTTTCGCAAAGCAACTGGTTTCGGGGTAGTTTCCACTACACCACCAAAAGTTCTAGACTTTTTAAGCAGGGGATCTGGGAACAGCCCGGATTTTTGTTGCATGACGCCCTCATGGATCCGAATGTGAATGGTTATTGAACCATTGCCTAAGAGGAAGTAGCATGATGTTGCCTTGATTTGTCTTGTTTGGGTCTCTGCTAGTTGATTTTGCGGGTTCTGTGTGGGGAATGGGGAATGACCTACGCAATATCCCCTTGTGCTTGCCTTTTTGAGGGATCCCCGCCTTCATTTCCAAAACCCTTTTGATCTACTGGGAGCCCAACTGATGCAATCCCCGCATGAACTGGCCTCCTGGGCCCGGTCCCAAGCTAAACTTGTTAACTTGGGGGAAGGTTTGGGGGCCGTCCTATGCCCTGGGCCACTAAGGGCAAGTCCCTACTGCATTTCTTTCGCTTCCTGCTTCCAACCACGGGACGCGCATGGCGTGAACTTAGCCAGGGGGAAGTTTCTGATCATGGTAGACCCCTTTTGGTAGGTGTTTAGGGGCACCACGGGCACGAGGACACCAACGATTTTTAGGGTCCTGTTTTGAGAAGCACCTCTTTTGGGGAGCAAAAAAGATGGCATCCCGCTTTCAACAGTCCATCTCCGATCTGACTTGTTCAAAGCTGTGTGAGGACGAGCACCGTCGGCCGCCCAGTTTCCTGGTGGGGTGATGCTGATAGCTCGACTTTGCTTTGCGCTCGGGATCGCCAGGTCTTGGTACTCACGGGCCGAGCCACCACTCGGGAGGTCCAGGATGTAAGGAGGCGCGCTTTCGCCAGTTCTTTCTTTCTCTTTTTTTTGGTGGGGGGGCATTAAAATGGCGGCCTTTGGTCTGCAGGCTCTGGGGTTTGAACAAAGCAAGAGAGAACCCGCTTCGGAAGACAGGGCTGCCCTGAATCCCGGAAAGTTGAGACATAGGCTGTTTGGCTAAGTTTTGTGTCTCGTGAGAAAGGAGGCTCCTTTCTTGGCTTTAAAGGGCAACCAAAAGGAAACCATCCATATTTGGGCTTTCCCCATTTTGACATGAGGCAAGCCCATATGCAGGCCCACTTTGACATCTTTGCACCCGTTGCAGGTATAGCGACTTTGAGGACGAGGACGAGGAAGAGGGCGAGGAAGAGGGCGAGGATATGCAGAGCTTTGACAGGAGCCGACTGGCTTGCCTCACAATTGCCCAGGGCGCAGTTACTACAGGTAACCACCCAGTCAACACAGTTTTTTTTTTAGGAGACTCAACATGGTGGGTTTCCTTCTGGTTTCCCTTTAAAACACCATGCAAAAAAGGGTACACTCAAAGGAAGACACTCCCATACTCAATTGTTGTTCCAACTTCAAAAGCCGCCAGCCCCAGCTTGCCTGTTCTTCCTAGGGCCATTTTCGAGGATACCCTTTTGGGAGGTGGCTTTAAAGGGGACCCCAAAGTCGCTTGGCTTCTTTGTGGATAGAGGCGGTGCCTAAAAATCTGTGAGCTGAGGTCTCTGTAGTCAAGGCCAAGGCGATCCGCCCTTTACTTGGTGGTTCCCAGGCATCTGGTTCCTTAGGTTTCCGGTTTTTGGGTTGGTTTCGGGGGTAGTCTCCACTAAACCACCAAGAGTTTTCTAGACTTTTTAAGCAGGGGATCTGGGAACAGCCCAGATTTTTGTTGCATGACGCCCTCATGGATCCGAATTTCCGAATGTGAATAGTTATTGAACCATTGCCTGAGAGGAAGTAGCATGATGTTGCCTTGATTTGTCTTGTTTGGGTTTTCTGCTAGTTGATCTTTCGGGTTCTCAGCTGAGAACCCACTGATGCGCTGGGCCACTCAGGGCAAGTCCCTGCATGTCTTTCGCTTCTTGCTTCCAACCACGGGACGCGCATGGGGTGAACTTAGCCAGGGGGTGGCATTGCTTCTGTGGTCGACCTCCTTTTGGTAGGTTTTAGGGGCACTAGGACCCCAACCATTTTTAGGGCACTAGGACCCCAACCATTTTCAGGGTCCTGTTTTGAACAGCACCTTTTGTGGGGAGCCAAAAAACGATGGGCATCCCTATAGTCCGTCTCTGACTTGTTCAAAGCTTCCTGAGGACCAGCACCAAGGATTTCCAGTACACCTTCACCAAGGCGGCCGATGGCAGAAGTTTTTGTTCTTCTCATCGGTTCCTTTGGGCAACTCAAAAGGGGTTCCACTGGTGTCTCTGATGTTTTTTTGTTTATCGCCCCATGAATCCCAAGAAAAAAAACACATCCTATGCGGTTCATGGACCGTTACCAAAAAAAACATCAAGACACCGGTGGATCCTAACGAAAACAGATCCTATTTGTCCAAAAGGCCACCTATGGAGTGAAGAGTCTGGGGAAGCTCCTGATTTTGTGATTAGCAGAAGACAGACTAGCCCTTGCAGCCTGGGAGCCAAAGGCACTGGCACAGAGACCTGAATGAAGCAAGCAGAGAAGTGGAGCCCGGTGTGCTCCAAATGTTTCCTGGGTCTGGTGCTTGGATGTGGTCACTTCACCTGCAATAGGGAGCAACACTACGAGTGAAGTCTTGTTTGTTCCATAGGCGCGTTTCCTTTGGCTGATGCTCGTTTCTTCTTTTCCGACAGCCCTTGGGAAAGACAAACTTGGGTTACCCTTTGGGAGCAAATCCGTTGCCGTGAATTGTTCCGCAAAGTGCAGGCGGAGCTGTTGACAGAGGAGACAGGCCGGAGATTTTCGGCTTTGTCTCAGACTAGGGTTTGGGCGCACAGTTTGGTTCCCCCCAAAATGGGAAACAAGCTTGTGCTTGTGCTTGTGCTTGTGTGCTTGTGTGCTTGTGTGCTTGTGTGCTTGTGTGCTTGTGTGCTTGTGTGCTTGTGTGCTTGTGTGCTTGTGTGCTTGTGTGCTTGTGTGCTTGTGTGCTTGTGTGCTTGTGTGCTTGTGTGCTTGTGTGCTTGTGTGCTTGTGTGCTTGTGTGCTTGTGTGCTTGTGTGCTTGTGTGCTTGTGTGCTTGTGTGCTTGTGTGCTTGTGTGCTTGTGTGTTTTCGTGGCTTCCACCGGGGAAAACACGTTTTCCTTGTGGTTTCCAAATGGGAAGATTGGTTTCCTTTTGATGCCAAATTGCACATCTAGGGTTCTCTTTGGTTTCCACGCAGACACCCATGTTTTCTTTGATTTCCGGGAACAATGGTCTCCGGTTGGTTTCAAACAGGACGAATGGATTTCCTGTTTGTTTCCAAATGGCAAAGCATGGGTTTCCTTCTGGCTGTCAGATGGGCGAAGATGTTCTTCGCCGGTTCCGCTTCAAAGCCAAGTGACTTTGAGGATTCTCCCCATCATGGGGGTCCTGGAACATCTTGCGCCGTTTGTGACTTTGAGGGGTTTTCCCCACACAAAAAGGCTCCGATCGCAAGACATGTAAACCTTCCTTTCGGTTTTTGATTTAAAAGGGCCTGTTCACGCACAGAGCACTGGTCGGTCTGCCGAGCGTTGATGACAGTTGCACTGTCCGAAGCAGATAGTAGATCGCGTCATCCACTCCGACCACTTGCTGCGACAAAGGTCAATCATGACAGCAGTTGCGGCCGGTTGCGGCCTGTGCTGTACGTACTCGTACCTTGCAGAAAACGCCGAATCCGCCGAAACCAGTTGCAATGGCAGCACTCACCAGGGCTGTAAGTGGCCGAGAAGCCCGCCGACTCCGCGCATGCTACGTGGGTCGCTCCGTGGCCCGCCTGGCCGCATAGGCAGCGCCAAGCGTCGCCCGAAGTCTCAGCTCACCTGGCCTGGATGCGCCGAAGGCGCCGAAGAAGGAACTCGCGCGTGGCATTAGTTCCCGCCATCTGCGGAGTTTCGGATAGGATCCATGACGGTCCTTGCCTTCCCGCAGACAAAACATCTGGCGCTGCAGAAGGCCGCCAGTTTCGTCGCTTTGACGATGGCGTACGAATTGGGTGACTTTTTAATTAGGGTCCCGAAATGGTGGAGATCACACAACCCGGGGCCCGGTTTATGTGCACCACTCTTCAAGGGCGCGCCCCATTAAAATTCATTGCCTTTCCTTTTCCTGAGGCAGGCCAGCACGCGGGGCGATGCCCAAAGGATGGAAGGTGTCGGATAGGCGGGGCTGAAGACCGGGTGAATTGGGCAAGGGATCTGTGAGTTCTCGGGTGATTGGCGGGGACTCCTGGTGCTTGGAAACCTCGGCGGAACACCACGAAACCATTGGGCGAGCCACCAAGAGGGAAGCTGAAGTTAGATGAGTCAATTTTCTTTCTAGCACCAAATTTCGCCGGAGGGCTTGATATGGAGACTTTCTTTTGTGCGTCCAAAATCCACTGCAACGAGAATCATGTGCGTAGCATTCGAAAGGAACCCATGTGTTAGGATCCATTTCGGGCCACCCAGCTTTGAACAAGAGTTGCTGCCTTAAACACCACCCAACAAAGAGGTACCGAGGCTCAACACAAGACACCTGTGTTGAAACTTCGCGACCACATCGCTGCGAACCCAATCGAAGGATGTACCTCTTTGGGCTGTTCAGGGCCAAGAGGAAATGTAGACTGCGTTTGACTTGGGTTCGAACCCCAAGTCTGAGACATCTCCATTGATCACGATGGATTCGAATCCGGGGTTCGATGCGAAGAATGAGCCTCCTCCCGGCACAGACTGGAGGGGTTCCTTCAACGAACTGGAGATTCTTTTCAAGCGCAGTGGATGTAAACATTACCTTTTTGACCCATTGAGCGGACCCTTTCGTTCAGAATTTGGGCAAAAGACAGAAAACAGTTTAGCAGAACAGTTGAGCCACAATTCACCTGCTCATCTCTTCTCTCATTCACCGGTTCATCACCTCCATACCCCACTATCCTACCGGGCAGAACTTGGGCACCTCCCCTTGCTTTGAGTTGTAGTGCATTGGCTGCAATTCTGTGGCTTGATGGATGGGTGAACGGGGGGCGCCTGGAATTCGGTTTGGGCTTGCCGGGAGGCGGGTAGGATTGGAACGGAGTTGCATTGCCCGGCAGGTAGATCACGGAGCCCCGCGCTACGCCGGCCTGAGTGTGTCTTGTCAGGAACCCCGAATAATTCTTCTAGTCGACGTGCGGCGCTTCGCCCTCGACTCATCTCGCTGTACAGCCGGCATTTCGCGGGACCGCAAAATGGGCAACGATGCTCAAGCGCTTTTGCGGAAAAGAGGCGTACAAGCGAGGGGCTCTGCTTAGGGTTATTTTGCGGGGTACGGTTGAGGTCGCGCAATTTCTCGCGCCCACTTGGTCCTGTCTCGTTTTTGGAGGGACCCCGAAATGGTGCACCGGTTTTCTTTTGGTTTCCCTTTCAAACAGACCTAGAAAAAGTAGTCGAGGGCCTTGCCTAGCAAATAAATTGCTTCATACATACCCCCCACCCTACATTTTTTTTCATCTTCCATCTTCTACCCTTATTTGTTTTCATCATTTTTCTACATTCCTTTCTGTCCATCTCATCCGTTTTTTTATCATCATTTTTCCAAAATTTTCGCCATCCTTTTCTCCTTCCTCCTCGCCTCATTCATTTCACCATATACCTCTCAAAATGTCATTTCCTCAATCTCCTCGAAATTTTGCAAAATATATTGCAAAAAATATTTGTCTGAACTGTCTAAAAACGATTTGTCCATTTCCCGGACAAAAAATAGAACAGCAACAACATCACTCCCCTCCTTCGTTTCATCAGTTTCATCATATATTTTTTTGGGGCGTGGTGTCCCTTGTAGGATTTTATCTTCAATATATAAAACGCTATACTGACATTATAATTATAACATATAAGGGTATAAATGTTATAATCATAGTATGGTTATGAAATTAATAATAGCTACCAACACTTTCATTATCGCTAACTTCTTCTTCGCTTTTGTAGAAGTCTTCAGTGCCTAATATATGATAAAACCGGATATGCCATTCTGCTTCTGTTCTAAATGGCATCATTGATAAAAGGGCTCTCATAGCGTCATAATATTGACTTGTCAGTATGTTTCTACCATTAATGTTCATATCATCAATATTATTAATAAACCATAGATGCTTAAACTTATATTCAATATTAAATATGTAAGAATAATCGTAAAATGTTTTTAATTCTAAGCATATTTCATATTCAGATTTTTTACCATCTAAATATTCAGTCAAAGACATTATCCAGAATGGATTTCTTTTTACCTTTTCCCAAGTTGGAAAAGGGTGTTTAATGATATCGTTATACCTGTAAGGACATATATCATAACAGTTATATGACATAATATTCAATCTAATTTCTAATGGTAAATTGTTAAGTTCCATTTCTATTATAATGTATAGTGTGTATTTCTTTAAATACTTTTTTACAAGAAATAAAATTACATATTGAAATATAATTATAACATATAATATTTTACATGTGATAATCATAGTATGATTATAATTTCAGTACAGGATAATAATTTAATTGCAACTCTTTTGAATGAACTTTTTGGGGGTGTAGGCTACCACCTTTTGGGGGTGTAGGGGTGTAGGCTACCACCTTTTGGGGGTGTAGGGGTGTAGGCTACCACCTTTTGGGGGTGTAGGGGTGTAGGCTACCACCTTTTGGGGGTGTAGGCTACCACCTTTTGGGGGTGTAGGCTACCACCTTTTGGGGGTGTAGGCTACCACCTTTACTTGTGTGTTTTTTCTTTTTGGTGCCCTTCCCTTTAACCTTGTTTATTTCAAGTTTGAGCCAAAACCCCAAACTTAATTTCTTTCATCCGTCAAACTCACTAAGATTTCACAAATCAATTCGCCAGGTATTTTGTATAAGTCTTCCTGTTTATGTATTGTTGGATTGTCTCCCCATTTTTCCTTGGTGCCCGATGGCAGTCTCTGCGCTGTTTCAATATGTTTATTATTCCTGATGTTGCCACAATCCTTTTTACATAATTCTCTAGGTTTCCAAGTTGTAATGTTATTCCATAGCCTAGTCCTCTTTCTATAATTAAATCCATATTTACAGTAATCAACATCTTTAAATTCAAACTCATCCATAAACTCCTGATGTTTTAATAATCCAGTTTGTGGATTTTCGATTACAAAATATTTAGGATTGAAATATTTGATAATCTCAATAGTTTTTAAGACAATACTATTTGCATATTCGATATTCCTAGTTCCCCTAGTTTTTGCTATGCTGTATTCAGTGCATGGGGGACTACTCCAAATAAAATCAAAATGGTTTCTGTCAAACTGTTTGTAATCCCATTCCAAAATATCAGTGTTGATATCAGCATTTTTCAAGTCTAATGATATTACATTAAATCCAAGCGACTTTGCTATGGTTCCGACGCTTTTTGTTCCGCTAAATAATTCTAATAAATTCATTTATTAGAATTATTTAGATATTAATTATTCAAATAATACATATACTCCATCATCATTTTTTGTAATTTTATAAAACTCTAATGTTTGTTGCTTTGGTTGTTTGATTTTTCCTGTATTCAACATATCACAGTATTTCTTTTGCTTTGTCGGGTAGTCGCCCGATGGTCTTCCTATAGATTTTGCTTGAAATATCTTTTCGATTTTTTCTTTATCTTCATTGCGTTCAACTGGTTTCATTTTGTCATCAATGGATTTAATCATATCATTTAAGGTTTTGATATTTTTACCAATTAATGTTATCTTCTTCATTAAATCATTAATAGTGTAATTCTCATTTTCA